TATACTACTGATTTCTCTGAGTTCATTGAAGAGAAAGATTTATGATGGTATTGTTCAGACAATTGAATGCAGATGTCTTGTGCTCTGGGTGACTGATTTGGAATGACAATGTGCAATGTATGTACCATCATTGCCATGATTGATGTTTTTTGACATTTTGTTTTTTCTCTTTGAAATAAAATGGATTTGAAAAAAGAAAAGAATATCCAAAAACCCCAGCTACTAAGTCTTGTATGTAGTTCAGGCTGGCCTTGAACTCACTGTGATCCTTCTGTCTCAGCCTTCTGCCTGCTGGGGTTACAGCCTTGTCCACGACATCTGGCAAAAGTTTGTCCGTTTTGTTTTGTGTTACTTTTGAGAAAGAGTGTCACTATGTAGTTCAGACTGACCCTGAACTTACTACGTAGCCAAGGCTGGCCTCAAACTCACAGAGATCCTCCTGCTTCAGCCTCCTGAGTGATGCTGGAGTTATAGAAGTGTGCCACCACACCTGGCCACAAAAGCTTGTTTTTCAGAACAGAAATTCATATATTTCATCAGAAAAGGTACTTATATTAAAAAACATTTCTAGCTTTGATACAAAAGTTGCTAATGCCTTACAAGGCAAAAGTCAATCTGTGAGGTTGGATATTCCATATTTATTTGTGTTTCTCTTCGATAAGAAGCAATATAGTACTAGAAGGAACAGCATCCAAAGCAATGCAGTCAGACAAAGTTACCTGGCCCTGGAAAGACTGTCGGGGGTCTGGGACACAGCACAGCTCTGTACTGAAAAGGCACCTACCTTGTAATTCTGTCTGCCTCGTTCCCAATTTAGAATGGTTTCCTTAAGGTGCCACCCATTTGTGGCTGCTCCCATAACACTATGGCTGTTTGCCAGCTACTGAAATGTACGTGCTGTTATTTAAGGCTAACCTTTCCTCTTGAGAATATTTTCTGGTTATTATTTTTTCTGTCTCCTACATCGTTATTCCCCACCCCCCAGCCAATTTGCTATTTTTGTCCCTCAGCATGAAGAAACGCCCTTCTGTCTCTAAAAGGAAATACCCTATCTTGACTTCACCTGCCCCTGTGGCTGCTCTCCCCTTTCTACCCTGTCCTTTATGAAGCATCTCCTGGAGGGGATTCTCTCCAACTGCCACCTCCACATCACTCCCCATACGCTTAAACCCACTGTGACCAGGCTCCCTGTCCTCGGCTACTGCTTTGCCCAGGTTGTCGATGGCCTCCACGTCACCAAGGCCATGTCGGTTCTCGGAGCTCAGCGCCATTTGACACTGCGGATGATCCCTGTGAAGCATGTCCTTGAAGCTCCTTCCTCCCCGTGTGCAGGACTCGACTGCTTTCCTTCCTTGCTGCTCAGCCATTATTGTTTTCTCTATAGGTTCTCCAACCCTAATGACTTCTCATCCCATCCCACCATGGCCATTCTTTGCTGACCTCGTCCAATCTCCTGCTTGATATTTTCTCCATGCATTGTGTACCCGTGTTTCCAGCCCACAGTGCTTTCCAGATTTCTAGACCCGCATAGCTAATGGCCGGTGGTCCTTCTCTGCTTGATTATCTAGTTGGTGTCTCGCCCTAAGCTCAGAATCTTTCTGCCCTAACAAGTTCCTCCTCCCTTTTCTCATTTCTGTTAAGTGGCAACTCCATTTTCTGGCACACTGAACCCCAAACCTTGCAGTCGTAGTTGACTCTTTTTTTTTCTGTCCTTCTCCTGTCAGCCTAAAAAACAAATACTGTTGATTCTACCTTTTAAACACAGCTGAGCAGGCGCAGTGGCACACACCGCAGCTTCAATGGCACATGCTGAAGTTGGAGCTATGTGGAAAGCTTACAAAGGAGGATCACTTGAGCTCAGGAGTTCAAAACCAGCAGCAAGAGCCCACCTCAGATAATAATAATAATAATAAATATATCTGTAGCAGGACCACTTTCACTCTCTCCACTGTAACCATCTGTAACCAGTGCCACAGTCCCTGCCCCTTCCCCTCCACCAGCCTTTGCACTGTCCATCCTAGTACAGCTGCCAGACGACCCTGGCTGAAAACCTCCTGAATGCTTTCCTCCTGTGGTGGCTTGTCTCCAGGATGGCTGCCATCAGGCCCTTCCTTCCCAGCCAGGCCCTAGTGGCCATTCGAGCCCAGCATAGCCACCTCTATGTAGACAGCCAGTGAGCTGCTTGCTGTCTCTATAAATTATCCCTTTTTTGAGAATTCATATAAATAGAATTATATAATATATAGTCCTTTGTAATTATGCTACTAATTCTGTTAGTCTAAGGAAAGGAATAGTGCTCATATTGTTCGATCAGTTTTGCATTCCCATATCTGGCAAGCTGAGCAACTTTTTTTTTTTTTTTTAAGACTAGTCAAGTGCAGTAGTGAGAAGGGGGGAATGAGTAGAACAAGGAGTTCAATCTGTACTGACTGTGAACCATCAATTGAGATAACTCACTACCTTCGGACCAGCCTGAGCAACTCTTCTGTTTTTCTTTTTTGTCTTTTTTAAGCTAGAGTCTCACTATGTGATTCAGGAAAGCCTTGAGCTCATTTTGTAGCCCAGACTGGTCTCAAATTCACAAAGATCCTCCTGCCTCAGCCTCCTGAGTGTGGGATTACAGGTGTGCACCACCATGCCCAGCTTGAGCAACTCTTTAGAAGGCAACAGTATGTAAAATAATAACCATTATTAAATTCCTTCATGTTGTCTTGAAATCTTATATCACTATTGTTTTGGGTTTTTGTTGTCATTTGTTTCTTTCTGATTTAAAAAATATATATATACATATACACATATAGTCTTTTGTCTAGGTTTTTTCAGTTAGTACAGTAATTTGAGGTTAAACTATGTAACATTTATCAGTATTTCAATCCCTGTTGTTGTAGAATACATTCAACTGTAGCGATACAGAATATTTTGTCTATCTATTCATCACTTGATGAACATAAGATGTTAACTGTGGGTTTTCTTAGATGACTTTGCTCAGGTTGAGAAGTTTCTTTTGTTTTGTTTTTTTTTAAGGCAGGTGTCTCACTGTGTTGCCTAGGCTGACCTTAAACTCTTGGGCTTGGGGCCAGGGGTTTGGCTCAGTGGTGTAAGTGCCTGCTTGGCAAATGTGAAGTCATGAGTTTGATCCCGGGCACAAACAAACTCTTGGGCTAAAGTGATCTTCCTGATTCAGCCTCCTCAGTAGTTAGAACTTTGGGCATGTGGCACTGAACCTAGCATGCAGTTCCTTTTTATTCCTAGTCTGTTGAATTTTTTTAAAATAATGAATGGAAAAAAATAAAATAATGAATGGATTAGAAAATGTCAAATGCTTTTCCTATATCTATTGATATGCTCATGTAGTTGTTTGTTTTTGTTTTTTATGTAGGGTCTATGTAGTTCAGGCTAGCTTTGAACTTGTTTATGTAGCGCAGGGTGATCTTGAACTCATAGTGATCCTCCTGCCTCAGCCTCCTGAGTGCTAGGATTACAGGTGGGGGCCACTATGGTTGGCTAGGAATATTTAAACTTTCTATTTCTTCTCTTTTTCCTCTTTTTGATACTGAGAATCAAACTCAGGACGTTGAGCTTACCAGGCAGGTGCTGTCCCCAGCCCTCCTTTTCCTTTCCTCCTCCATCTCCTCCTCCTCTTTCTCTTCTGTGCTTTATTGGTGGGATCAGGGATTGAACCCAGGGGCACTCTCCTACTGAGCTACAACCCAGCCTTTTCTAATTTTTGTTTTGTTTTCTTTTGTTTGGTACCAGGAATCAAACTCATGACCTCATGCTTTCCAGGCAGGAGCTGTGCCACTGAGCTATATCCCCGACCCTTTACTTTTTTTTTCTTTTTTGAGACAGTCTTGATAAATTGCTCAGGCTGTCCTCATTCAGTCCTCTTGCCTCAGCCTCTCGAGTAGCTGGTATTACAAGCCTGTATGTGCTTTAACTTTCCTATAGTAGAAGCTGATTGAGATTTGTGGAAGAAGCGGTTTTCCATTGCTCTCACACAACAGCCATCAACACAGACTTCTGCTACTAAGTGTAGGTGAGTTTCCTCCACTCTCAAGCAAACAGGCAGGGCTGCAGCAGACACCACCCGGGTGTCCTCAGATTCAGTCCGGACATTCTTCCTGGGGGCAGCATCTCTCCCCCCAGGCCACTCTCCCCCTCCTGATGCCACAAGCACCCAGGGTTTTTCTTGTGTCTATAAACTGAGTTCCCCACAGCCCCTTCCTAGTGGTAGATTAATTTGCTAGAGAAGCTCACTCACAACACTTAGGGAAGCATTTATATTTCCTGACTTACATTTAGTATGCAGGCTGTTAGCAAGGATGCTCATGAAGTGAGGGCCAGCCTGAGTGCGGGAAGGAGCACTGGCTGAGCTCCTAGGCCCTCTTTCTGGTAGTGCTCCCAAGAATCTCCAAATCTCCAGATGCTCAGCTCTCCAGAAGCTCTATAATCCAGGTTTTTTTTTTTTTGCTTTTTGGTTTTTTTTTGGTTTTTTTTGTTTGGGGGGGGCGTTGCTATGCACTGGGGATTGAACCCAAGGTCTTTTTCACTAAGCTATAACCCTAGCCTCCTTTTAAATTTTACTTGAGGCAAGATCTCTCTGAGTTGCCCCAGGCTGAGCTCCCAGAGTGCTGGGATTACAGATGTGTGCTATGGAGCCCGCTTTTTTTTAGACAGAAGCTTCTTTATATACGCATGCTAATTAAATCAATGGCATTTGATAATTAACTCAGGGATTGAGGGGGTCAGGCTGAAAGTCCCAGGCCTCTAATCATGCCTTGATTTTGCACCAGCCCCCATCCTGTAGCTACCTAGGGGCCCAGATATTAGTTAATCATTTGCACATGAAAACGCTTACACTTTGGAGATTCCCAAGATTTTAGAAGCTGTGTGCCAGGAAACAGGGACAAAGATCAAACATCTATTTCACAACTTTGTAAGCCTTTTCTTCTTTCTGACATATACTTCCTGATAGAGTTATTTCCAAAAGATGAAAAATATAAAATAAAAAGCGGCCTTTATTCTGAGAACACGGAGAGAGATGACCGGCAACCCCCACCGCTGGCGTCCAGCGATCTCTCCGGCGGACACGCGGCGTGGGGGCCTGTAAATAGCCTCGGTTTGGGGTGGAACCTAAGGCGGGCATTAGGGATACATAGGTAGCCCATTGGTCCTAGGTTTGGCGCCATATGTAAATTCCCAGGGGCGGGAAGATGGCGTCACAGGTAACTTCCTAGGGGCAGGGCAAGATGGGGCTTCCTGCTTCCGGTTGTGGCTTTCCTGGCTACAGTGTCCTGTCTGGGCCAAACCTTTCATATCCCGTCTTATGGTTATTATTATGAAAAGGGGCGAAGATTTCTCTCTTTAACTACTTCCTGCTGGCAAAGGGCGCTGTACTGGAGCCTAGGGGAGTCGACGGGATGAAGGTTGATGCCCAGGTAGACGCTGGTGCCAGGAGTTTTAGCCAGGACAACTTCACTGGTGAATGCACATATGTCAGACTGGAAAAACAAAGAGACAAGATGTTATGAGGAGACATGGCACTGTCATATTTAAGGACCCAGGTGAGGTAGAAGGAAAGGTGCCTTTGATTTAGACATATCATTCTATCAGGACCATGTTGAGGTAGAAACATTTCCACGGTGAGGCAGAATTCTGAAAATTAAACATGGGGTTAGGAGGAGTGGAGTTTTGAGAGGTGATTACTCCCCCATCTGAAAGCATAAAAGTTAAGACGGTAGGTTGGTGAGGCTTGTCTCTGGTATGCATGATGTTGGAGTCTGTAGGCAATACTGTTAAAGAGTCCTGCTGTAAAAATGGTCATTAATAGAATGGAAGAAATTAGGAACCAAAGTGGATAACAAAACATGACTTGGCCTGTTAACTGTGGCTGCGCGGCCTTTGTGAGACGGAGATGGGTAGGTGACAGAAGATGAGATGACCACTCAGAATGATCAGATTTAGGGCTGGAAGGACACCTCTTAGCCTGAGCGATGTGAAACCAGGATGGCAGTCCAGCAACTTTGATTTGGGCATGGGTCGCTGTATCCTGGTTGTAGTCCTTGGAATGATTTGCTGTAACAGAACTTTAGCAAGTATGAGAAAGGCTTTTATGTATCCTGAGAAAGTATAAACCAAGTGAGAAGACAAAAACGTATCTGTGAGTCTTGACCAGGGTTACCTGAGAAATTGGTGAATAAAATAGGAAGGGGGTGGTCTATATCACTGAGGAAGGGTCCACCAGCGACAACAGGTGGAAGCTGTTGAGGCCTCAGTGTGTCTAAGTTAGCCTGTATAAAAGGCATTTTAAGATTTAGGACTGGGACCTGCACAAAATAGGCCCTGTTTATAAATGGCATAGGTTGACCATCAATACCCCATCATAGAGACTGAGGACTTAATATAGCAGCCTGAATACTCAGGAAGAACTCTGTATATATGGCCTCTATGTCCACAAATATAGAGAATGTCTTACCTGAGACTGTAGTGCGACTTGGAATCTGAGACAGACACCTTAAAGGGGGCTGTTGTTGCCCTGAACCCCCTCAGCCTCCAGCAGCGATTTTCTGTCGGTGACGAATCTGGCAGTGTCGACATTTCCTGTGAGGGCTAGAACTTAGGATGGCTTACCCACTCTCTGGTGGCTAGGACAGTCCAGCGGCCCTGGAGTAAGGTCTCAAAGAATGCCAGGATGGGGCATTTTCTTGTCCAGTATCTTCTGCTGCATTTGAGCGTGGTCCATGGAGGGGGCAGGCAGCTCCACCTTGTGTAGGTTTACCTGTCTCAGAACTCCAAGTGTCACAAGTGTTAAAAATATGAAAAACCATATTAAGATCTCTATAAGGTTTGAAGGTCAAGTTTTGTCTTTTTGTTTGGGATTTGGACTATAGTAGAATTAAGTAAATATGCAGGAATATCACTTTTTTTTTATAGGGTGACACGTAGAATTAACAAAGCTTTAGTCTGCCAAACAAGGCTTTAATGGAAACGTTTTGCAGTAAAGGTTTAGCAATCTTATGAATAAATCAAAACTGATCTAATACTGTCAAATTCTGAACACATTTACTTTTAAAGTTGTTATTTGCAGTAGTATGAACCAAGACAAATAAAATAAAACTTTGAAGAAAACCCTTGTCTTGAAAGAGAGCTAGTGGTTCCCAGCAAAAAGGAAATTTATTACCTTAGTTGTTAAACAGGAGATTGGTGAAGGTTTTGATTGATAAACAAGGCTGGTAAAATTATCAGGTGGCCAATAACCTTGATTAAATGGTTTGAGAATTGTAATAAAAGCATCTTTTGAGCGGAGCCAAATTGTAAAAAAGCATGCCTGAGCAGAGCCGCTGAGCTGCTGTTTCACGGCACTCCGGCAGAGCACGCCCAGTGGGTGGGGCAAGCGCTGGGATGTAGCGCGCAGGGGCGGGCTCGGACTGCCCCCGGAAACGTGTAAGGTGGCAGCGGCGGCGACGGCGACGCACAGGGGAGGGAGGGGCTGGGACGGCGCATGGGGGAGGGGCTGGGAGGCGGCCCGACACAGCGCGTGAAGCTGGAACTGCTCGCAGGGCTCGAGGATTAGAAAGCCAATTTAGGAACACAGCTGGGTTTTGATTAGCTTCCTGGACCTGTTTTAAAAATTTGTTATAGTTAGTATGCTTGTCCTGCTCTGGCACAGCTATAGGCCCAGAGTCATTATAAACGTCCTTAAAATGTAAATCATAACCATTAGTAATAAATTTAAATTGCCTGATATAATTCTGTGGGTCAACAGAGAGGCTACCTAATTTAAGGGTAATCTGAGATAGATCAGAAAGGGAAAAAGGCACATGGATGTTAACAAGTTCCTTGGGGCCAACTTGCTCCCGAAGCGGTAGCAGAGCCTGAGGAGGTTCTGGAACAGAGGGCTTTTGAGCAGCCATCCTTCCGATAGGCGCATGTGAGCAATCATCTGTAGAGCGGCTACAGAGCTGCTGCCGGTCACCCTGGGAAACACGAGCAGATGGCATCTCACTGTGTGCCTTGTAGCTAGAGGACTGCTGTCGGCAGCACAATGAAGCGTCATGTGCACTGCAACAGGGCGGCTGTTGTAGTTCACAAGAGGAGCCACAAGGAGACGCCTGTTGACAGTAAGGGTCCTGGAAACATGGCGGCACCCTGTCACGTAACCCGAAACATGGCGGCGCCTGGGAACATGGCGGCGCCCTGTCGCGTGACCCGAAACATGGTGGCGCCCTGTCGCCATGTGGCCCTCCAGAACATGGCGGCGCCATGCCACGTGGCAGAGGGTTGCAACATGGCGACTGTTCCCCGCGCAAGCTGGAACAATCACGCGACCTGCTGGAAGGACATAGCGAGCGAGACCTAGTATGGTGGGCAGGCGGTGAGAATGCTGTAGGGGATACAGAATTCTCAGGAGAGGAAGTCGGAGACTGTGAGGAAGCGCTAACAGAGGGATTAAAGCTGCTGGGAGAGTTATGGGTCCCAGGAGAAGGCGGGGGAGAGGATGGAACATCGGGAGATAACTGCGACACAGAGGGATTAGAGCTGCTGGGAGAACTATGGGTCCTGGAAGGCGGAGAGGGAGACGATCGTACAGTGGGAGGTATCTGCAATGGAGAGGAATTAGAGCTGCTGAGAGAATCAGGCACAGGGGGAGGAGAAAGCGGTCCGGTGGGAGGTAACGGCAGGGAACGAATTTGGTGGTAGGCAGGCGGCGGCTGGGAAAACAATGGAGGGCAGGACGGAAAAGTTTGTGGCGCAGTAGACTTAGCTAAAAGTATCTCAGCGGGAGCACAAGACTTAATGAGAGATGGGCGTGTTCTCAGAATAAGAAAGGCTTGGACATAAGGGAGTTCCAATAACTTGTTGCCAGCTTGACAAAAATCATACAAGTTCCTGAGAATGCAGGGGTCAAATGTTCCTTGCCGAGGCCAAGGCTTGCCGATAAGCGGGTAGGTTGGCCAGACCTCCTGGCAGTAAAAAGTTAGTTGTTTAGTTTTTATGGTACCTTTAATTTTTAGAGTACGTAAATTGGAAATTAGGCATCGTAAAGGCGTCTTTTGGGAGTTAGAAAATACGTTCCCCATGACTGATTCAGGCAAGAAAAAAAAACCGGAGGTCCAGAAAAAAGTCGTCACTTATTTGTGGTACCACGCGGCGGCTACGGTTCCAAACCGTAAACTCCAGTCGTCACTGAGAGATTTACGAATGGAGTCTACGTGGGGTCAGTAACAGTTTTGCCCGTGAAAGCGCAAGGCTTTAAGGGAAGTGAGGCATTCTTTCAGTGTGGGCGGTCCCAAAAATCTCTGCTTTGGGCTATCCGAACCCAAAGAACGTGAGAGATTTTGTGGGCGCAGGTTTGCCCAGAAAGAACCCTGCCCTGGGCGGTCCTAAGGACGTGAAAATGCACAGACCCACGCAGACGGGGAGAACATTCCACTGGGGCTGCCCAGTGCGAAAAGTTCTCCGGGGAGTGCTCACCTGAAATCAGTCTGGCCGATGCGGAGTGCAGGCGGCTGGCGACAGGAACGTCTCGGGAGAGGAAAAAGCTCGGGATTAATCCAGGATGTTATCTGGTTATCGGCTAGAAGACTTTGGGTATGTGGCCCAACAGTCAGTTGCCTGCCGATAGAGTCACGGCAACAAATGATAGAGTTATTTCCAAAAGATGAAAAATATTAACAAAAGATGAGAAATATAAAATAAAAAGCGGCCTTTATTCTGAGAACACGGAGAGAGATGACCGGCAACCCCCACCGCTGGCGTCCGGCGATCTCTCCGGCGGACACGCGGCGTGGGGGCCTGTAAATAGCCTCGGTTTGGGGTGGAACCTAAGGCGGGCATTAGGGATACATAGGTAGCCCATTGGTCCTAGGTTTGGCGCCATATGTAAATTCCCAGGGGCGGGAAGATGGCGTCACAGGTAACTTCCTAGGGGCAGGGCAAGATGGGGCTTCCTGCTTCCGGTTGTGGCTTTCCTGGCTACAGTGTCCTGTCTGGGCCAAACCTTTCACTTCCTTCTCAGTACTTCTAGCCCTAGCTGATTCCCATAAATTTTGAAATGTTGTTTTCATTCTTATTCAGTTTAAAATTCCCCTTAGGGTATCTCTTTGACCCATGGACAATTTTGAAATCTGTTTAACTTCCTAATACTTGGGGATTTCTAAGATTTCTTTCTGTTATTGATTTTTTAAACTTAATTTCCAAATACTTAACATATTTCTCACTCTTATTGATTTCTAACTTTATTCCGTGTGGTCAGAGAACACGGTTTGTTGGTTTTTTGTTTTCTATCCAGTCTGGCAGCTTCTTTCATTCTCTTACAGTGTTTAGACCCTTCATAATTAGTTTTGTTTTGAGATACTGGGGACTGAACTCAGGGCCTTACACATGCTACACAAAAGCTCTACCCCTGAGATACCTTCTCAGCCCTTTCATTTTATTCTGAGGTGTGGTCTAGCTATGTTGTTCAGTGTAGCCTGGAACTTGCAATCTCCTGCCTCAGCCTCCCAAGTAGCTAGGATTACAACCATGTGCCACTATTCGTGTAATTTCTAATGTGAATAGATTTACATTTGCTATTTTGGTGTTCGTTTTTCTCTATGTTCTCTGTATTTTTGTTCCTTTCATCTTCCTTTAAAGCTTCTTTTCTGTTAGTACCACTCCACATAGTACTAGTAATTCAATCCAAGGCTTTCACACTGAGCTATAATGCAAACTTTTATGTATTTTTGTTTGTTTTGTGACCTTGTGCTTGCAAGGCAGGCGCTTATGCCACTGCCCTGTTTATTTTGTTTTCTTTGTCTTGTTTTTTGGAGACAGGGTCTCACTATGTAGTCCAGGCTGACCTTAAAGTCACTGTGGAGCCCAAGCAGGCCTCAAACTTAAAGGACAATCCTCCTGCCTCAGCCTCCTGAGCACTAGGATTACAGGTTTGAGCCACCATGTCCAGCATTCTTTTTTTTTTTTCTTTGATTCTTTAAACATGATTTCTTTTAGTTCTTCAAACATATTTATAATCGTCACTATGTGTGCCTTTCTTGACTAAATCCAACTTCTATTTTTGACTATTGCTTTTCCTGACAATGGGTCATACTTTCCTGTGTCTTTACCAATTTCATTTTATTTGTTTATTTTTTTATCTTTTTGAGACAGGGTCTCACTACACAGTTCAGGCTGGCCTTGAGCTCACTTTGTAACCCAGGCTAATCTAGAACTTGCAATGATCCTTCTGCCTCAGCCTCCTGAGTGCTAGAATTACAGGCAGGTGCCTCCACTCCTGGCTGCCAATTTTATTGAAAACTAAATATTTTAGATAACATATAGTAGTGACTCTGAATTCTGATTTTTTTTTTTTTTTTTTACTTGCATAGTCTACGGTTCAGTAACTTGCCTGGGCTAAATCTGTGAAATCTGTCTCCTCTGAGGTGTGTGGTTGCTGATCTCCCTGCTCAGTTTATTTTCTCTGAAAGAATCTAACTTTGGACAGATTGTTCCTGTCCCAGTAAGTAGCCCAAGAATCAATCAGTAATGGAGCAAAGTCTTGTGCTGAAACATCTCAAGCCAATTCTGCATTGATGAATTTCTGTTTGGGCTGTGGAGCACATGATTCAAAGTTCAGGGTGTTTCCAATACTGTCATTTACTTCACTTTCTGTTGGACCTTTCTCCATCTCTGTGTGGAAAGAGAATGTATAGAATCCGGCCTCTATGTTCTCCATTGTAAATGTGTGCAGCTTCAGCCAGGAACATGCCTGCCCTGCCACAGCTGTAACTCAGGTGAGCACAGCAGGATCATAGCCTTCCCCTGCCAAAGCAACTGATGCCTGTTTGACAGCAAAACTGCTCCTCACTGTATCCCAGACCTCAGCAACATCTTCTGAGGGGAGGGCTGGAAATGGCAGTGTCCTCCAGCGAGCATGCCACAGATTCCCACTGCTACCGCAGCATTCAGCAGTTACTCAAGCATAAACATTGCCGTTATTATATGCTGCTGGTCAGTTTCCAGAGTGCCCCAAATGGCTGTGGTTGTTTTGTCTACTGTGTGTTGTTTGTCCAGCTCTGTAGTTGTTTTTTTAGGAAGACGCCTACCTCTTCACTCTGCCACGGTTTTTCCAGATCCACAGTTGTCTTTTTAGGGGGATGTCACCCTCTTCAGTAACTATTTGATGAATACATGGGTAAATTCTCTGTACTTTGCCTCTTGCTTCCGCTTCCCTACTGAAACTGTCCTGTGAAAAGTTACCAGCAACCTCCTAGGCTCTGAGACAGACCAGGGCACAACTGCAGCTCGGTCAGCAATGGTGTACTTCACAAGGGCATCGTCTTCTCCAAGTGTTGGTTTATCACTTATGTTAAATGACTGAAATAACACACATGGTGTTATTGTGCTGTGATGCTATATATTTTCTGATTTTCGCTCATGGGTTCCTGGCTCATAACTTCCTCCTCAAGGCAAGTCACAAAAACTAGAATTTCTCTTTCCCAAGGTGAGTCACAACTTCTAATCTCCACCCCTGCCCCCACCTTTCTCTGTAGGAGCTGGCTGTAAAGAAAGTCTCTGAGTAACCTTGTCAAACAGTAGGTCATGAGACCCTCCCCTCGCCCGAGGGATTCTGCCCCATTCCCTGGAGGGAGAAATGAGGAACAAAGAGGTCAAGAAGGAGGCTGATACGCAACATTTACCTGTCCAGTCTATCAGCATGAGATCATACCCTTACTTTTAATCACGTTTTGACAGGTCTGTCCACGTGCCAACCATGCCTGTGCAGTGCAGCCTAATACCCTATGGGGCAGGGTTCAGAGAGCATCAGATAGCTGAGCACACACAGGCTCCTGGAGCAAGCTCGCTCTGAGAAGACAGCTTGCTTTGAGTACCTTCCACATACTTTGTCAGCTCCACATCTGGCCCCTTTGTAACATCCTTTATACTAAACCAGGAAATGTGTTTCCCTGAGTTAAATTTATGGTAAATTACCTAAAGCCAAAGAGATAATTATGGGAATGCTGATTTAAGGTGGGTCTCAGATTAAACCTACTAGTGTTTGTGACTGGCATTCACAGTGTGTGTGTGTGTGTGTGTGTGTGTGTGTGTGTCTATGGGGGAGGGGAGGACTAAGTCCTTAACCTGTAGGATCTGACACATCTCCAGGTAGTATCAGAACTAAATTGGATTTAATGTGAGGACTTTGTGAAAAAAAAAAAAAAAAAAAAAAAAAAGAATTAGATTTGAGGAGGCCAGCTTGCACCTACAGCAAAACTCACTCACTGCCTGCTTGGTGGGGAGAAATCCTCACACTTTCTGAGGTCACCGAAGTCTTCTTTTTTGTTAGGGCACAAGGACAGAGACAGGAAGAAAGATGCTTATTCTTTCAACTGTATTGTAAAGAAAGGTGGGTTCTGAGGAAGCATCTAGCTCGATACTTCTGGATTCTTTTCCAACCCAGTATTTGTCAGGAGCCTGAGTTCCTGCTCAGACTGTGGCGTCCAGGATGCCTGCTCTATCACCATTACACACCCGGTGGGAATGCGGGGATAAGATCACTAAAACCCTTTGAGATCGGACCTATTTACGTAACGATAAGGTATTATTATGCCTTATTATGGTGTTCTTTGGGAACTTTTAAAAAATCTCTCACTCTGGGAAATTCTGGTCATACTAAAAATTCTAAAAATAGGGAAGTACTTGAATTAGTTCCTTCAACTTATTTTTTCCTTGGACATTTTGACCACTGCAGTGTAAATATCTTCTAAAAGACCAGTTCCACAGTTATAAATCTTTTTTAATCATAAGGTTTTATATTTCTAAGTGCTTCTTCTAAGAATTGGAAGTTCAGGGACTGGGGATTTAGCTCAGCGGCATAAGTGCCTGCCTTACATGCAGGCAGTTGTGAGTTCGATCCCTGGTACCGATAAAAAAATGACAAAAAAAAAAAAGAATTAAAGTTCATTGTCTCCTAAATCAAAAGGTAAACATGAATTTGGTGTTAAAGACAGAGCAGAAAGAAAATAACCAAGCAGAATGTGAAGAATTTGAAATGAACACAGTGTGGTGAGGCCATTTGGGGACCCTGTTAGGGCCTACCTGAAAATTCAGCTCTCTGCAGACAGTGTATGCCTGGTTTTTTGTTTGTTTGTTTGTTTGTTTTAAATTTTTTTTGGTCTTTTTTGTTTTTCGTCTTTTTGAGACAGGATCTCTCTATGCAGTTCAGGTTGGCGTTGAGCTCACTTTGTGGCCCAACTCACAGTGATCCTCCTGCCTCAGCCTCCCGAGTGCTGGGATTACAGGTGTAAGCCACCACGCCCGGTTGACAGTGTATGTCTGAAAGAATGATTTTTAAAATGCTTTATTAAATTTCTTCCTCATCATCCTTCCTTTAATTAGCAGTGGACTATTTATGCTTCACTCTTGTCCCTTGTTTTTCCACTCATCAATCCTATTGCCAGCTCTTTGAAGGTGGACACCTTCCCTACACCTGGCGCTGCTCCTCATCATTACCTCCAGTCAACAATTCTGCCCTCCTGCTCCTTTACTTAGAAGCCTTCACTGTCCCTACATGTGAGCAATTCCCAGATTTTGTTTGATTACACATGCTTATCAGTGTAGTAAGATATGATATGTACACATGCGTATATAAACAATTACATACGTAATTTATTTTAAAATTATCCACTTGCTATTATATTTTATATAAATTATGAAGATTTACCAAAATAGGAAGTTTAAGAGGATGAGCTAAGACAAAAAAGCATGAATAGAATTTGTAATATTTTTTTCTCTGCACTTCCTGCACATGCAGCTCTAGAAAACTATTGTCTGTAGGGCAAAAGCAGGTTCTGCAAAACCATAGTCTTCAAACTGGGATCTAGGCCTCCTGAGTATTTAAGGGACTCAATTTGCAGATTCTGAGCTACTAGTATCCCCTCTGATGAAGGTGACCTGCCTGAGGATGGCTTACACTGAGCTGATTTCTCTGTCCTATCCTCTCCTCAGAATTGCTCTTAGCTTTCCAACAGGTTATTGCTCAGCTGTCTTGAACTGTATACGTGCTTTTACGCCAATCCAATGCACCTGCCTGTAGGAGAAAGCAAATAGAGAACTACGGAAGGGTGAGCTGTGTTTAATCCACTTGACAAATACAGTGTAGGCCTCTGTAAGGGCGGCCAGCCATCTTAGAATTTTAAATCACAGGAAAGAAGGTGGAAGGCTTTGCAGTTATTACAATTTTCTTTTTTTGTCAAAAAATGCAATTTAAAAGTGAAGGTAAACTTTTTCTAATACAAAAGTGAGTTTAATTGGTCTCTATGGGGATTGGTTTTGCCAATTAAATGATATTTTCTACAAATGGGATGAGCTGGGTCTGTGAATCTAAGCATTTTTTTTTCTTGCTATGCTGCCTAGGCTGGCCCTGAACCCCTGGACTGAAGCAATCTTCCCATCTCAGCCTCCTGGGTACCTGGGACTACAGGTGCATGCCACTGGGTACCAGCTTCAGAGTTAAGATTTCAACCATGAGGGGTATTCTAACTTAATTCTGGGGTACAAATAGATATTTTTCCATAGTCTGCTTCATGCATTTTGGAAAATAGTAATTATAGAACAAGCTAAAAGTCAAAGGAGAGGTCATATCTCAAAAAATTTTCCCTTGCTTTTTGCCAAACACAAATATTTGAACTCTGTGCTTGAGTGCTGTAGGAATAACTAGCCTTTTTATACTGGGCTTACCAGAAATAGTAATGAGTGTTCTAGGGATGCCCGTGAGCAAAGTAACAGGTAGTTTGCTAAGTGGCTCTGTTGCGAGTGTGAGGCTCCACGTGAGTAAACAAGTTAATGAAGTAAGTAGGGCCAGAGAGGAAACATTCCACTTGAAGGAAAAGCCTCATGTCTCCCGGGAGAGGAGTCTGGGATGGCTCAAGCAGCACTTGCTGCTCCTGCCCTGTGCCCATTCCCGTACCAAGTCAGTGGCCAAAAGCCCTACACAGAAGGATGTTTGGCCCTTTACTTAAGCCCACATTTAGTGCTGACTTGATACCAAACTACTTATTCAGTGCAAGATTCCTCTCCAAACACATTGGTAGAAGCAAGGTATGATAGATGGGGCATCAGCCATCAAAGATTTCCTGTACTAGTAACATCAGCAATCCCATAACAATCTGTTCATTCAAAATGGAAAATGAAGAAAGAAAACATACTTAGAAAAAAATATATATTTTTCTTTTTTTTTTTTCTTTTTTGTCTTTTTCGTTTTTACCAGTACCAGGGATCGAACTCACAACTGCCTGCTTGCAAGGCAGGTGCTTATGCCACTGAGCTAAATCCCCAGCCCCCCCAAAAATATATATTTTTCTAGTTTTCTAATACAATCTACCCATTCACCACAGTAGTGGAATTTTCTTTCTCATGTTTTCTTGGTTGTCTGAGCATCTTCTTTAGCTTTCCTATGGAGGATTAAGTTGTTTTGTTTGTCTTTTTAGATAGGGTCTCACTGTGTAGCTTAGGCAGACCCTGAACTCCTGTTCCTCCTGCCTTGACCTTTAGACTGCTGGGATTACAGGCATGAACAACCAAGCCTTCTCTATGGTCACGATGGCAGTAGAATCTAACAGCTTTCACCCAAAAAGGCTTAGTTGTTGAAGGATCTCCTTAAAACATGTTCTGCGTATGGAAGGCACGTGACAAGGACCCCAGAGACCATTCAGTGAGGCTCCACTCAGTTGCCTCATCAAAGAAGTTGCTAATGCTGCCCTTTTAGAAAAACTATTGCAAGCTCATCCCTTTGTTAGACTTGATGAGACCATCTCAAAATAAAAAGGGCTGGAGACATAGCTCAGTGTGAAGGCCCTGGGTTCAATCCCTAGTACTACCAAAAAAAAAAAAAAAAAAAAAAGTAATTATCAAACTCTGCAGAGCGAGAACTGTTTGATAATGTTTCCATTACAAATGTTTCTATCAGTAATACCATATTTCCTCTGATGGGTGGGCCAACTCTAATCTGCTCTAACATTCTGCTTTCTGCCAGTTCCTCAAGAGTAAAAGCTCCAACAAAATTTGCAACAATGGTGAAGGCAGCCTTACCATGAAAAACTATATGTATATAAATGTGTTCACAAATGGATTTAGACTCATGGGTGGAAAGGGTCTGTGGTCTCCTAAATAGAAAAATCTTCAACTGAATCAAAACTGACTTAAGAGTTTGGAAAATGTTAACAGGCTTACCAATCTTATATCAAGCACCACCAAAGCTACATTTTAACACCTCCCAGCTCTCGGATTTAATTTTATTTCTTTGACCCTCTTCACCTCTGAAATTCTTTCCATTCAGCAAAATCAGTTCCATTTAGGAGAACAAGTAGACAGAGACTTGTGTAGTGATAGAAAACAGTTTCAGCCCTGCGAGAGCAACTCCTGGTGTAATGAAATTATGCCTCTTTGCCTCCAAATATCCAGGCTTTCCTAGGAGACCAACAATATAATAAATGCCGGCTCATTTACGTTCAAGGACTCCTCAACACGGACACCATTTTCTAGTACAGTTCAGTTTAGTCGTTTTATAGAAAAGCAGATTGTGTGAGAACGCTACCTTGGAGCAAGAGGTTTTCCTAGGCAAAAAGCCTGGCCTTTATCTGCAACCCCCGCCCCTCCACCTTTCCTTGGTCGCAGGGCCTTGTAGCACGACAGGGTGTCCAGCAGATGGCGCCGCGGTTGAATTTTCGTGAACTCTTTCTGTGGCTGTGAGAAGCCTCGAAAAAACAGGAAGGGGATTTTTTAAAAGCACTCTGATTTTCAATACATACCGCCTTATTTGCTTTGAGAGGCACTTTTTATTTAAATTAGTTGAACTGCACTAGAGATATCTAAAAAGATCATTGATTACGGAACGTGAAATGCTTTTCTTTTTTTTTTAAGTTTCCAGTCTTTCAAAAATCTCCAACAGGTAAATTTTCAAAATACCACTGTCACAAGTGCACAGCGTTCAGAAGCCTTAGCCAGCGCGGGATGAACAAGGGCAGCTTCTAAACCGACCGACGAGGGCGTGGCGCCCACAGGCTCCCCGGCCTCCAGCGGAAACAGCCTTTGTGCCGCGGCTCCCGGACACAGCGCCGCCTGCCGGTGAGAGGGGACAAAGAGCTCGGCGCCCGCCCGCAGGGCGTGGGCCTGGCGCTCGCCGCCCTTATCGGACACTTGCTACCGGAAACCCACGAGGCAGGAAGTCCCCAACATGGCAGCGTCGCCTTGCCTTTCGGTCGTCGAGAACAGAAGGCTAGAGGACTGCGATAGTTTTGTTAGGCAGTGTTTTAGCGGGTGTAAAGGTTTTTAATGCTTCCTGAAGCTAAAAAGGATGGGTTTGATTTTTAGGGTAACACTATTATTTTACACAATCCTAGAGAAGAATAAAAAGTAGAATATTATGGATAGGGTTTCGTTTAATCTTGCTTTAATGAGATTTGTAAGATATAAAAAGCTGTTATGAGCCAAATTGAGAAAATGAGCTGTGGCAAGCAGGAAAAATGGGTTGAGTTTCAAGGTTGGATGTGATTATTTCTGCCCCTCATTTTTATTCCATGGTTGTTGCATGCCTTTTCTGGAGACCCTCCTCTCCCCACTTTTCTCTCTTCCCTCATTCGACAGGAGCCTCTGCACTCATCTGCTTAGAACACGTCATCGTCATCCACTGGGAGAGAAGCGTGGTACCACCTTTCTCCCCCTATGGCTGAAGCCCACAGAAGGATGACAGGTTGTGCTTCAGCTCTTCAGCCCGCCTGGCTGCTGGAACGGTAACGGGCAAGATGATGTCAGACTGCATTTGCCCTCTCTTTTGGTTGCCCTTCACTGAGCAGGTGCTCTCTCTCACAGAGCCCTTTCACTTTGTCCAAATGACTAGGGAATAACCTTCTAGTCTGCTTCCCCTGCAAGGATGCATTGCTTTAAGTATAAGAATCCTGCATCTCCATGTTTCTTCTAGTAAGAGAGTAAAGATCTATAGATGAATAATTTCGCAGATGAACACTTGGGTGGAAGTCATGTCGTTTGCTAGGTTCCCGCTTGACATAGATTCCCACCTTCCATCAGAGCAGGGCTGTAGACATTAATTATAAGCTGTAGTTCAAAACAGGACTCTTTCGTCTAGTAGCACCAGAAACACTCAAATTAGGACTGGAAGAGAAAGAAGGACGTAGGACTTGTAAGAGACTTGAGGTGTAGCGCTCAGTCAGGATCCAACCAGATGCACCCTGAGAGCTCAATATTTGAAGGAGAGAATAAAAGACTTGATATATAGTAACTTTTAGTGAATCGGGCCAGATCCAGGAAGCTGCCTGACATTTATCTACAGAGAAAGGAGGAGTGCCTCTTTTAAGTGTCACTGCATTATAAAAGTGACCTTCAGGGAGAGGATACACGAACGGGCAGCTGATAATAGTAATACTGTGCAGGAACACAACTCCCCTCATCCTCTGGACTGCGGAACGGAAGGTTACTAAACTCATCCCGGGAACACAGCTCTAGGCCTCCCCCGCAGCGGTCCCCGGAGGGTGGCAGCTCCTGGGCACAAAGCGCAGCGGCCTCTTGGGGGAGGGGCGCTCGCCGCCCCTTTGTTCTGCCTCGGAAAATGGGCTCTGGAGTCTCACACAACAGCTGGTCCCCTTTCTGCAGCAGGCGGCAAAATAAATTAATCACCAATACTGATTTAGACAGCTTATTTTTGGAGCCTTGAACTCTAAAGTGCAAGGTCTGACTAATTTTAGAATTCTAACATTCTCTAAGGTTTTTTTGTTTGGTTTTGTTTCTGAGTTGCAGATCAAACCCATGTCCTTAAATTTGTGTCTACGGTGAACTACGCTTTTTTTTTTTTTTTTTTTTTTTTTTTTCTTTTTTTTGAGACTCACTGTCTTGACCTCACTGTGTAGTACAGGCTGGCTTCAAAACTCACAGTGATCCTCTTGCCTCAGCCTCCGGAGTGCTGGGATTACAGATGTGCACCACCATGCCTGCTTTACACTTCAGTCTTTTAAGTATTTATTCTGGGTTTCAAATTTTTTTTAAAAAAATCAGAAATGTGCTCCTCCTTATCAAAATAAAAAGATCACTTTTAGAAAGAGGTGGTGCATGGTGTTTTTGAATTGTGTTCTGTACCTTACATTTAAGAATCTTAGAGTATGATTTAGTGAGCAGACTTGTTTGCTAAGAAATCTCTTTAGCGGTAAAAGAAGGCTCTCAGAAATCTCGCATTTTTACATGATGAGAGATATTTTTCTCCATAGAATGTTTAAACCAAGCCCCTTAAAAAAAAAAAAAAAAAAAAAAAAAAAAAGCATTCAGAATTACCAGTCCCTGCTGAAGTGCGGTGCTGAGACCGGGTCTCAGGGCAGGCCTGCCACGCCCTGCACACTTAGCGCATCTGCTGCTGGGATGATTATGAAACCACAACGCGCCGCGGCTTTTTTCCACACTGGACAGCTGAAGCAGGCCCTTCTGTCCAGCTGAAATTCCAGTTTGGGCCGGCTGGAATGAATTCACGCGCATCCACACGGCGGGGTCTGTGGGTCAGAGGAAGCTTACTGGGCTGAGGAAGACCAAGAGGGCATTTGGAAACACCATAGGTTTATGTCCTGGGAATTTGTTCCCAAAATAAAATACATTTTGCCTCCTCACAGGGCAAAGATAATTGCTTCTTTATTTTTTCATTTCATCTGGCTGCAGAACACCTGCCCATGCAGTGCTGGGAACTGCGGGAGTCCACGTATTTCAGTGAAAGGCAGCCCTAGGCGAGCCTGGCCACAGCCTCACGCAGCCCTGGGCAGTCTTTTCTCTCCAGCCTTAGGAGGAAGCGAGAGGTCTCCACACCACCCCCACCCCGCCCCCCAAGGAAACCAGCCCTGCAGTGTCACTGAAACACAGAGGATCTAATGACTGCAACTCTCTAGGAGAGGCCCAGGCAGACTTCTAAATACGGAATAAATGAGAAAACATTCCTCATACATTAAAGTACTTGAATTTAAAAATCGTGACCTCTCTGAGGGTAAGAAATTTCCATAATCTATAAATTTTACGCATAGTCAGCAGGATATTGAATGTGGTAGGGAGCACTTGCTTTAAAAAATTCGATAAAAATGCACTAATAGCCAAATGTGGTGCATGCCTGTAATCCCAGCGCTGTAAAGAACTAAACCAGGAAGATTGCAAATTCAAGCCCACCCTGGGCAATTTAGCAATTTAACAAGAGCCTGTCTCAAAACTAATAATTTTTGTTGTTGTTGTTGGTTTGTTTTTTGGTATCGCGGATCAAATTCACAACCTCGCACTTAGCAGGCAAATGCTTGAGCCACTGAGCTAACTCCCTGGTTTAATAATGTTTTTAAAAAGCACTGTCGATGTAGCTCAGTAGGAAGGCCCTGGGTTCAATCCCCAGTACCTCCCCTCCCCCATCCCTGAAAAGAACAATGAATGGGACAGACCACACCTTGCAGATGCTGCAGTTTATCTAAACGATAGTGGTAAAAGCCAGCTATATACCGGAAATACACTACATGCTTGACATTTCTATCTCATCCCACCCCCAAGCCAAGTTTTACTTGTTGGTACTACCTTTTTTTTTTTTTTTTTTTAACTTTTTATCGATACCAGGGATTGAACTCACGACCGCCTGCTTGCAAGGCAGGTGCTTATGTCGCTGAGCTAAATCCCCAGCCCCTAGTACTACCTTTTTTTACATATGACAAAACACTACACAAGCCATACAATTTATCAGTAATCACATGAGGACTAATCCAGCTCTCAGCCAGCCAGTCTCTTATGCTGTTAGAGACAATCCTGCACCACCACATCTACTAATGGCATTGACTCTCCATTTGTTAACCACCCTTCTCTGAGCTCACAATTCAGCCTCTGAAGTGGGAGGGAGAGAGGAAAAGAGGAAAGGGAACTCACAAACAGTTGGGAGTCCGCACGGTTCAGCTCCCTGGGTTTACTGCTGCTGCCTAGGTGCTACTTGGCTAATGTTTTTTTCTCTCTCTCTTTCTCTCTCCTCTTGTGCTAGGCACTGAACCCAAGAGCCTTTTACAACTCTCTTTATTTTGAGATAAGTTTTTGGTAAATTGTTTTAGTGGGGCTAGAACTTCTGGTCCTCCTGGCTTGCCCTCATAAGTAGCTAGGATTACAGGCCTGTATCACTGTGTCCAACTCGACTATCTCTTCTCTACAAACAGTTAATATAGAATAAACAGATCAAAAGAAAGAAAATTTTAAAAATGCTAAAATAGTAGGAGACAGACAAATAACAAATCTACTACAGATAATGTTCTGCCTGCCCTGGGCTTCAGCTCTACATTCGCAGTGCTGGAATGGGTCTTTATATTTTTCCTTCCTTTTTTGTGTGTTGTTAGTAACACTCCAGTCAGCCACAGAACCTGTGCCTGTCTCTACCTGCCCCATGAATGCAAATATAGTTAATTGTTGACGTTAGGCCATTAAGTGATTTTGAAAGCATAGGTTATAGGTAAAAAGAAAACAGTGGAAATGACGGTGCATGAAATGCTAGAGCTATGTCAAATACAGTTTAGAAGAATGAATTGCATTTATTTATTTATGTCTTATTGAGACAGGGTCTCACTATGCAGTTCTTTTTTTTTTTCGGTACAGAGATCAAACTCACAACCTCATTCTTGCCAGTCAAGTGCTTAAGCCACTGAGCTAAATCCTCAGCCTGCACTATGCAGTTCTTGAACTTACTTTGTAACCCAGGCTGGTCTCTAACTGGCAAGGATCCTCCCAAGTACGGGATTACAGGCATATGCCACCATGCTCAGCTATGAATTGCATTTAAACCCACTGTCATGAAAAGATCTCCATAAGGCATAGTTTAAAAACAAAATTTTAAAAAAGCAAGATAAGAACAAAAAGTGCAGAATGACATCATTTATGTTTTTAAAAGTCATACAAAGCAACAATACACACACATACACACACACACACATACCCTATACAAACAGAAAACAATTTGATAATATGTTTTTCTGGAAAGAGCACTGGGAGACTTTTTAAAAATCCTTTTACAAGATAATTTATTCATAGACTAGATATGTAAAAGAAAAAAAATAGGGGCCAGGGATTTAGCTTAGTGGTATACCAAAAGAAAAGAAAAGAAATAATAGGGCTGGGGATATGGCTCTGCATACGCGCCTGCCTGTCAAGCACAAGGTCATCAGTTTGATTTCTGGTACCAAAAAAAAAAAAAAAAAAAGAAGAAGAAGAAGATAGAAAACAGTGACATTAGAAAATGAAAGGTTTTCAAAACGCAGCAAAGTGGCACAGATGCACCAATCTAATAGCACTGCCTCATTCAGGTCCACAAAAACCTATTGGCTAGATAATCACTGATTAGAAGAGTCCTTGTCTTGACATTAGTATGAATTAATGATTTAAAACATTTAATGTCTCCTATCTCTACCACACATATGATCCTGTGTTCACTATGCCTGGAACCAGAGGACCTGATTTCATGGCCTGACTGTGCATTTGTTTGTAATCTTGGGCCAGTATTTATATCTACAGAATGAAGAGAATAGTAACATATTTTACAGAATCCTGGGAGGATTCAATCAGAAACAAACAGAAAGTAACATGAAACCCGGGCAGCTTGATGCTTATAAATTAAAAATGGTGCTTATGCTTATTTCTTCCCATTCTCTCCCTCCCACTTCACAGAGTTATTTTTTCCCTCACCTTTAAGATGTCTGACTCTCTCGAACTCAGGCAGAGTTCAATTCTTTTTTTTCAGAGTTAAATTCTTAAACCATTAATCTTCAGTATCATATTTGCTGCTTGTTTGTTGAGAGCACTCCCTTATTTGAGACGTTAGATTATACAGAGGCGTGGTTTTTAGGCTTAGATGCCTATTTATTTTAAAGAATATACTTATTTAATTGAATTTATAAAATGTATCTTTTCCCTGTAAAACCCACTTTTGATGCAAGAACTGGAACATCTAAATCAGAGAGGTCATTTCAAGTATAAACCAAGAATATAATTCAATGGGGTTTTTTTTGTATCTTAAAATGTGATTATTTGTTATCCTAAACAGAATTTCAGGCTGTTCCAAAATTTTAAGAATCCAACTTTAACCCTTATAATAAAAGTTGGATTTTAAGAATCCTAACTTAACCCTTATAATAAAAAGAATTGCAAAAATAATGAGAACTACAAATGCTATAGATTTAATTAAATAAAAAAATATGGGCAGACAAATTCATAAATATCAGTAGCTAGATTAATCACATGCACATTGTACTATGGCTAAATCCACAACAAGATATGACTATTTTTTATTACATTCTCACCTTTGAAACAGAGACAGGTTCTCCTCTGCTTTTGCTGGATGTGTATATGAGTTCTGGTGGAGTAAATAGGAATCCAGTTAGAGATGTTTTATAGTTTGAGTTCAGAAAGAATCCATTTGAAAGAACCATTTCCAAGCACACAAAGCACACATCTCTCTCAGGCTCCTCCACCCCATTAAACTGGGCTGTCATTTTAGAGCTGGGTGCCCATTGTTCACGTTCTTCTACTCTAATTAGATTTGACAGATTGCTCTTTCTAGCTAGACTAGCTGTTGCCAAGATCAGAGAGAAGAAATAAGGTTGACCTTGTCACGGTACCCTAGGGATCAGCGCCACCCCCCAGCCTAGTTCACAGATCACAGAAATCCATCCTCAGCAGCCTCAAATCTGTTTTCCTTCTCCTTTAGCCTCTTATACATCCCTGGCCATCTGAGTGCCACTGAGTTTTCTTACTTTCAGGCTAAGCAGGCTGTGGAAATGGAGTAAGTGTTGCTTTAATATTTTGGGTAATAATACTCTGTCCTTTGTTTTTTCTGTAGGCCTCAAGGTCAAAGGGGTAGGAGGACCAACTAAATTTTCTAAAGAGAAAGATACTTCAGACCCTTCTGGGAGCCAGGAAATATTGATTGCCTAATGAAATGCAGTTCAAGAATTCATGTGTCTGAAGCAAATTCTACGTTGCCCTCAGTTTCCATATTTGTAAATCATTAATAATTATTGACCCTTTACTGAATCAAACATGCATCTAATCCAGTACTTTCTTTGGGAGATTAAAGGCAGACCAAAAGAGAGAAGTGATATGCATAGCATTACAATATTAGTTAACAGATTTTAAATGCCTAGACCATACTCATAAACGAAATAAATCAACTCACATGTATAAATACTGTATAGTCTCCCTAGTGTAAGAAATGGTAAGAGTACATAAGATTTTATGATAATCATGATTCCCTATTACATTGCTTTGAAGCCTTATAATGTTTTCATTCGTTAGTTGGAATGGTTTTATTGTTTTTTGTTTGATTTTAGAATGTGTGATGGTGTGAACAGCTATTTTGAAGAAAACAAGAAATTACGGCAGCCATTGCTGATTTAATATCATCTTGCTCTGAAGTCCTGCCCTGCTTTTGTTCTTCTATTTCCATTGGTTCTATCATGTTGTATCTTATTGGATTTTAATATGTGTGAGAGTATAAACAAATTTTATATGGAAAATGAGATAATATAGTAGCCACTGTTCATTTTCGGTTATTTGGTTCTGAATGCCCTGTATTACTTTCATTCTCTTGAATGGTTTTACACTATTTTAAAAGAATTTTTTACTGGGAGACTATGGTTTAAAGTTTTATACTATTTTGTTATGTTTGATACTATTGTATGTGAAGGTATACTCAACTGTTTCAAAGAAAGAGATTATGGTAGCTACTGTTAATATCCGGTTGTCTTGTTAAGTGCTGTGTTGCTTACATTGTTCTGTTCTGATCTGCTTTGTTCTGTCCTCTTTTGTCTTAATCTCTTTAAAATAAAATAAAATAAATTTTTAAAAAGGATTTTAAATACCTGATATTGAACAACAGTTTGCTAGTTGGCTTTGGCAATAACCAGCTTTTTCCCAGTTATTCTCTCCTTGCTAATATGCGATACTGAAGGAAAAGCAACTCTTTTTCTCTGAAGAACGAATTTCCCTCACTTTAGGACTATATTTTCAGCAGTGTTTCTCTTTACTGAGAACTCAGTGGTCTTGTTACACAATCTGAGTCACCAAATGCCACAGAACTTTCAGAATTCGACGGGCTGGAGTTTGGGACCTTGCTCGAAATAGCAGTGGCCATGCTTCCGCCCTGGCTGTGCCCTGGAGCAGCTGCTCAAGAGCTGTGCCGAAGTGTGACTGTTAGGAAGTTCTTTTGGGGACAGATTTAGTGCTTATGAGGTTGCAATGTAAACCCATTCATTCGTTGTTTATTCACCTACTTATCAAGTATGTATTAAAAGTCCATTATTTGCTGGGCCCCTGAAGACTGTTACGACGACTGCAATGAATCCGAATCAGCTACAAGGAGCCTCAGAAGGAGCTCGGGCTGTAAACACTTCTCTCTACTGGGGCACTGGAGAGACCGCCGTGGAAGGAGGAAGCGGTCCGTGTTCTCTGGCTGAGGTTTGAGGAAATCAGAAAGATGTCACAGAAAAGGTAATATTTGTTCTAAAAGATTATTTTCCAGAAAGGAGGGATGTAAGTACATATTAATCAGCTGGAGGAAGGGAATGGCATGGGGTTTAGCCTGAATAGTATCGGAAGCAACCCACCAAAAATGAGATCGAACTTTTAGGTAGGATCAGTGGAAACATCCCATGAGGAGGAAGACGCTTGGACTCTATCTTGGTAGCTCGTAGGAACAACTGAAGAGTTTTAAGAAGGAAAGCATCTGGTGTGGTGGCGCACACTTGTGATCCCAGCCCTCAAGAGGCGAAGGCAGAAGGACTGCTGACAGTTTGAGGCCAGCCTGGGCTACACAGTGAGACCTTGGCTAAAAAAAGAAAAAAAAGAAGAAAGAAAGAAGCATGATGATCTAAACTACATTTTAGAAAGATAGGGGCTGGGGATTTAGCTCAGCAGCATAAGCACCTGCCTTGCAAGCAGGTGGTCGTGAGTTCGATCCCCGGTACCGATTAAAAAAAAAAACAAAAAACAAAGATGGCTCTGATGGTAGTATGAAGATGGTTTAAGGGGTTGATGGGAAGAAGCAATACTTTAGGCAAAAACTGTAAGAAACCACTGAAAAAATATGTATGTTTTTCTTTTTTGAGATGGGATCTTGCTATATTACCTAGCCAGGTACCTCAGCCTTCCTCCTACCTCAGCCTTCCACATAAAGAGGAAGAGAGGACTGCTGGCAACCCCACAGAACCATTTAGATGAAACAAGACAGTTGGCATAACTGCTTCAAATCAACGAGAAGAATAAAAGGGAGTGAAGTGTTTACTTTCTAAGAGACTTCAACCATGTGCAAAGAAGTACACAACTACATACGATGTGTGGCTCTTGTTTGGACCCTGAGCTAAACAGATCAACTGTAAAGAGAATCTTTAGGGTACAGGTAATTAAATGATATTAAGGAATTAGTGGTAATTTTGTTAGATGTGATAATGCTATCACAGCATAATGAAATGGCATAGTATGATGTTTGGTTTGCTTTAAAACCTCTACAAAAAATAGATGAAGTAACCATGGCAAAAAAAATTAATAATGACCACCACCACCAACAACAACAAAAAACTGGGCATGGTGGTGCATGCCTAAAATCCCGGCACTTGAAAGGTTGAGGCAGGAGGGTCATCTGAGTTTGAGGCCAACCTGGGCTACATAGTGAGTTTAAGGCCACTACATAGCAGGACCCTGTCTCAACAAACAAACAAAAACCTCCAAATATATAATAAATATAATTCTCTGCACTTCATGTGATCTTGCCAGTATCATATCCATTTGGAACACACCGCTGTTCCAAATGAAACTAATATTAGCTCCTATTATTGTACCTATTGAGTTAGATATAATACATGTAGGTAGTAAAAACCCTCTCATATTTTGGTCCCAGTCTGCTTTCCTCTGTCTGAAATTTTTGGTTTTCTTTGGTTCTTTCTTGGATTTTATTTATTTTACTTTTCTTTTCACAAATATCCCTCCCAAGGTAGTAGGCTGTTTGCTATTTTTGGAACACATGAATTATATGAAATATTATAGAAAGGATACTAAGCAATATCTAGCATATACTAATAGGCCTCAGAAGATACTGGTATTTGGATATTGGACTCTTGATAATTCCCTTGCATTTATCCCACACAGTTTTTCTTGTAAAGTCTCTTTCCACTTTTCTTCATGTCTTGTAACAAGCTTCAAATCAGGAGCCTTCCATGTCAGGAAACCTTTCTTGAGTTCACAGGCAGCCTGGGGATCTTTGTCTGGGATTCTGCAATAGCATGCCTCTCTTGATGCTTAGCCTGTTATATTTGTTTAGATCTCAGTTTTCTCCTATATAACATAAGTTTTCCGAAAATCAATGTTGTGCTTTTTTCGTATCTTTATGTAAAACTGTATCTAGCACAGTGCATGGCCCTAGGTATGTTTTTGTTTGTTTGTTTTACAATCTACTGGGCAGAACTTAACTCCCTTCCTCTTTAACTGAATTTTTATGTGATATATGATACGCTTTCTGATATAGGATACTCTCACTCTATTGCTACTGAATTTCAGAGGGTGATTGTTTTGTCATCCCCGTGTCTCTTTCCTGTACTTCTTACAATAGCTCTGGTTTTCTTTGAGAATTTTCTGCTCCGAAGACAAACAGAGGACTAAGTCAGCCAGTAGATTCCATTCCTGTGGCCTTACTATTAGTTTGAGATAAAGCATGAGCTCTAAGCTTTGCTAATCATTAAATCTCAGGACTTTTGTCTTTGCTAAAAGAAGACATATTTCTCTCTCTCTCTCTCTCTCTCTCTCTCTCTCTCTCTCTCTCTCTCTCTCTCTCTCTCTCTCTCTCTCTCTGCCTCCCTCTCTTTCTCTCTGTCTCTCTGCACAAGGGCTGCTGTGTTCATTTTGATCCCACAAGGGAGAAGCCTGTTGGAGAAGAAAACCAAAATGTGGAAGAGAACACAGCTAAAAGAGACAGGGAGAAACAGAGACCTGGTGATAGAAACAGAGCTCTGGAATCCAGCCATACTTGAAAACTACTACTTGTCAGTTTGTATTGAGTTTTCTGTTACTTGCAACAAAACCATCTTAACATAATATTTATTTGTACTTAATACATTGCTTGATACGTGACACTATTCAATAAAAGCATTTAATAGAAAAATGGGTAAGTTACTGGAAGAAATAGCAATTATTTATTTCTATAGGGCAATTTATCTATAGCCTTAAAAAGATCAGCCTTCTGAATGATGGTGGTGACAGTGTGTAAGAATATGGATGTAACCAGTGCCACTGAAGTAGATCCTAAAAATGATTAACATGGTAAATTTTACATTTTGTATATTTTATCACAATAAAAATGACAGAAAAAATATCCTTAGGCCTGAAATAAAGCATTATCATCTATGGCAGTGCACTCAGGATGACTGGCTCAAGGGACTAAGGTGATAGGAACCCAAGTTTGAGGCCAACCTGGTCAACTTAGGGAGACTGGGTTTCAAAATAGAGTAAAAAATAAATAAATAAATAAAAGGAATGGAGATGTAGCTTAATACACCCTGGGTTTAATCGCAAATACTGAATAAAAGTTGTTCATATCCAGATGGAACATGAAAAGATAGGGCAGGACATCCTGCCAGACAGTACCAAAAGAAATGTATTATTGCTGCCTTGGAAATGTAGCCTAGGGAAATAACTAGGTAGGTACACAGAGCATAGCCATATGAGCATTACTTTTAACATCAATATAGGTTAGTCAATAAAAGTATGATACTGTAAAATAATAGAATATCATTAAAGTACTTTTATACCACTTCTTATAATCACATGATCAAAAATGTTAGAATTATATTATCAAATAGTTTCACAAAAATAAGACCAGATTTTTTTATCCTTGCTGCTAGTGATTGTTCCCAGGCCTTGCTCTATCTCTGAGCTACATCCTCAGCCCTAGGACTTTTTATAAGGGTTATAAATTGGAAACAATAGACCAGGTGTGGTGGCACATACCTGTAATCTCAGCACTGGGGGGCTGGGGCAGGAAGACTGCTGGGAGTTCGAGGCCAGCCTGAAGTACATAGCAAGACCTTGTCTCAAAAAGGAAGGAAGGAAGAAAGAAAGAAATTACACCTACTGTAAAGGAATTAGTGAGACGCTTTGAGGTATACATGGTCACAAAAACATGCCCTAAATATCAATTTTGTGAGTAAAAGAAGCAAGCAATTTTCTCTACTAATTTGGATACTATATAATTTGATAACAGTGTTAATTAATTTACACATGTGACTTTTCTTTCTTCGTTTTTTCTGAAGTAGAGCTTTTTGCTTCTCCTTCCCTGTTTTTTTTTTTTTGTTTGTTTGTTTGTTTGTTTGGTCTTGTTTTGTTTTGTTTTGGTACCAGAGATGGAACTCACAATCTTGTGCTTGCCAGGCAGATGCTTAGGCCACTGAACTAAATCCCTGGCCCCCTTCTCTGTTTTAAAAAGATGTCACACAGCTAAAGAGAGATTTTTTTTTTTTGTACTGGGAATTGAACTCAGGACCTTACATTTGCCAGGAAGTTGCTTATGCTGCTGAGCTATGCCCCAGTCCTTAAAGAGAAATTAAAAAAAAAAAAAAAAAAAGCTATAGGAATAATAGATTATTAATATTCAAGGAGAATAATCAAAATGTGCATATTTTCCATGTAAACAGAATATAAGATGCTCAGAACTTTCCTAAAAAATGTTCTTTGCTTCTTTCTATCTTACTCGATGCTTTCAGAAAGTGTTATTCTGCTATATAAATCTCAACCACTTCTATCCAAGAAGTCTCAGTGTCAGACAAGAATCTGATCAGGTGTGAGTGGAGAAAAAGGCTAAACTATGCCGAGCATCCTGTCTCCCTCTAACCACACACACACACACACACTCACACACACACACACACGATTTCAGTGCTTAGCATACTCTGTGTGTATATATATATGAAATATATATATGTAGCATTCCCTTTATTTTCCGTGGTATAATTTTTCCTAACGAAGATAAAGTGTTCTTTGTTACTACTGTGATTCACAGTAAGTTCAAGTCAGGCCTAGGTCTATTGCCCCCAGCAACTTCTGCATTCAAAACATCAGAAAGTCCTCTCTCATTGCCTGTAATCCCAGAACTCTGGAGAAGGAGGTAGGGGGATTGAAAATTCAAGTCCAACCTGGGCAATTTAGGATTTAGCAAGATCCTGTCTCAAAATTAAAAAAAAAAAAGCTGGATGTAACTGAGTGCCAAGACCCTGGGTTCAGTCCCCAATACTCATAGAAACAAACAAACAACCAAACACAGTTCTTCAACTTGATATAATTACCACAGGCAGAGGGACTTAAAAAAACACAGCAAAATGCATTGATAAATAAATTCACATCACTGGATGCCAAACAGAAGGAAATGTAGAGGACATCTAAACCCTGAAATTCCTAACCTTTGGTAAACAACAAACACCTCTGAGTTCATAAAATATCTCTGGGCTGAGGACCGAGAGTTGTATTGTGAAAATAAAAGATAAAATCTTGATGTAAACAGTATTGAAAGAATTTTTTCAAAATGGAGTAAGGAGGCCATGAGGGAAGCACGACTTCATGGTTCACACTGCTGCCCGGGAAGGGTGACCTGTAATACTTTCCCCTTTGACTGCAGGCATCTGAAGCAGATAATTCCCAGGAGACCCCGGAGACTCAGGTTACATATCTTTATCAGACTCTTGGTTGTGGAGATTTTAACTGAGTAAATACATTCTTTTCTTTAGCTTTCATCAATCACACAGTTCCTGTCACACAACCTGTCTTCCCAACTCCATCTGGTTTCCCCACAAAATACTTTTTATTGCCCTATAATAAAACAACATTGGGGCCAGGGATTTAGCTCAGCGGCATAAGCACCTGCCTAGCAAGCGCGAGGTCATGGGTCCAATCGCCAGTACCAAAAAAAAAAAAAAAAAAATTTGCTCACGTAAGCCCTTATCTACCCTGCCTTCTACAAAATACTGATTTGGAGTTGTCAGGATTCCTGAATTGCCCTTCCTGAGACCTCGAAGTCTCTTTTACATTTGTAGTTTCTGAGTCTGGATTGATTGGCAACGTTCAGCAAGGTCCACACTCCTGCACATTAAAAGCTAAAATCACTGTTCTCATCCTTATTTTACACAGATGGAAACCAGCGGGGTTCCAGAGATTGATGACACACACATAGAATCAAGATCAGAACTCAAGCTGGACATGGCAGTGCTACGCCTACCATGAATATGTAGATTTAGGAACTCAATGGGCCAAGGTAGGAGGATCACAAGTTCAACACTAACCTGTACAACTTAGTGGGACCTTGACTCAAAATAAAAATTAAAAAGGGCTGGGGTGTAGCTTAGTGGTCGTGTACTTGTTCTCTGGGGTGCTGAATGCTCTTTCCAATGATTCTTTCCAGGTTCTTGTCCTGAACAAAGAATTGGACAAGAAACACACAAAGGTAGTGAGGTTTTACATTTACTAAGGGTAGGAAAAGAAGTTTGTTCTGCAGAGAGACACTGAGCCACTAAAGAGAGGAGACAGTGGTTGTGAGCCTAGTGGCTGAGGTGTTTGGTATCCCCAACTCCCCAGGCTGACTATATCATCCTGTCAAAAACTTTCTGGACTTTGCAACAGAAAAACTGAAGATAGCATTCTCCAATGGCTCCAGGTGCAGGGCTTGGTTCTGTGTATGTCCCAAATCTCTGAGATGGGTTGGTCATGCCTATTTTCCTAGGTAGTTATCTACACCCTAATCTCCTGCTTCAATGGGGTGCCCTTGCATTTGATCCCCAGTATTACATCCTTGTTCCTAACTCAGGGTTTTTATCCTTATACTATCATTCTGTCTTGTTGGCTGTTTTCCAAATGTTTGCTATTTCATCATAATACATTTTTTAAAAAGTGTGTGGTTTATCTAAGCATAGCAGTACATAGTAATCCTAGCTAATCAGAAGGCTGAGGGAGAAAGATTGCAACTTATAGGGTGACCTGAACAGGGTAGGGAGAGTCTGTCTTCAAAGAAAGAAGGAAAGAAAGAAAGATAGATATTGGTCGGGAGCAGTAGCACACACATGCAATCTCAGCACTGAAAGTGGCTGAGGCAGGAGAATTCAAAATTGAAGTTCTGCTTGGACAACCTAGCAAGACCTTGTCTCAAAAAATAAACAGGGAATTGGGTATATAACTCAGTAGGGCAGCATGTGCCTGGCAAGTGCAAAGTTCTGAATTTGATTCCCAGTTCCAAAAAATAAAAAAAAAATAAATAAACAGGGCTGGGGATGTAGCTCAGTAGTAGAGTGCTCCTAGTTCCTCAATATTAAAAAGATAAATAAAATAATAAAATTAAAAGTACAGCTTAGCTATTGGTCATTTAATAGCAAAAACATGGAGTTGCAATATCTAGCCTTCATGAAAGAAATTAGTCACAAATATACTTATAATTCCACTTACATGAAATGTGCAGAACCAGGGCTAGGGATTTAGCTCAGTGGCATAATGCCTGCCTGGCTAGTGTGAGGTCGGGAGTTTGATGCCCGGTACCAAAAAAAAGAAAAAGAAATGTCCAGGGCTGGGGATTTAGCTCAACGGCATAAGCACCTGCCTTGCAAGCAGGGAGTCGTGAGTTCGATCCCCGGTATCAATAAAAAAGAAAAGACAAAAAAAAAAAAAAAAGAAAGAAAGAAAAAGAAAAAGAAATGTCCACAGCAGGTAACTCCATATGATAAAAGTGCATTAGTGATTGCCAAGAGCAAGGGGGAGGGATGGAAATGGGGTGATCAAAATATTCTAAAATTGTCTGTGGTGATGGTATGTTACATAATTCTGTGATGTAGTAAAAATTAGTGAATTGTACAGTTCCAAAATTTGAGTTATATATGGTAAGTGAATTTTATCTCAACAAAGCTGTTAAATTAAACACTCACTGGATTTGGAAAGTTAATTTAAAATGTTTATTTCATTCTTCAACAGTTCTGTAAAAGAAGTAGGCAGTTCTCACTGCGTCTTCTCGTTAAGCATAGCTCAGCCTCGGGGTTCTCACACATAATCCCATCATGGGCAGAAGAAGGCTGAGAGGATTGAGAATCTGAGACCAGCCGGAGCCACATATCAGGATTCTACCTCCAATAAAGAAACAAAACCAGTGCTCCCCATTTGGGTCCATTTTCCTGCTCCCCATGTGCTCAGCAGCAGATTCATTATACCAGACCTCAGTCTGGCTTCCAGGGTTCTCCCTGCTTCCACCAGCCTCCGCCACTTAGTGTGCAGCTCCTGTCCCACGGTTACCTCTTTGGCGGCCTTTCCTTCCCTCCTCACTGGAGTTGGTTTGACTTCTAGTGTGTGAGTAGTGACATTATGACCCAGTGTTTTGATATCACATGACAAATTTTGGATCCTCACCACCAACAAATTACCTTTTTTTTTTTTTTTTTTTACAAAACTAAAGCCACATTTAATTTTCTTTATCACAGGACCCAAGAACTAGACCACAACTGTTATTATTGTTATCATTCTTTCATTTTCTTCTGCCCCTTATGCTACTATTCCTTCCCTCTTTTTTACTCCCTCTCCTCACTGTCAACCCATGTCATGTCCCCTTTATATCTGGGGAACATTTGCTGAATACTCAGGAATCTGGAAAAATGTCATCTCTGCCAGAAGGCTTCTCTAACACCTCTCCTCACCTCTATTTAGGATGTGGGCTAAATGAAGTAATGGTTAGAGAAATGGACACATTTGCAAATATTTACTCCTTAATGTGAAATAAATGCAAAAGCAAATCAGATGGGCCAGTCTTTTTTAAAATTTTATCTATCTATCTATCTATCTATCTATCTATTTATTTATTTGAGACAGGGTCTTACTATGTAGCTCAGGCTGGTCTCAAACTCACAGTGATTTTCCTGCCTCAGTCTCCTGAATGCTGCTATTACAGATGTGCGCCACACACCCAGCCAGCAAAGGGGCCAGTCTGAACCTCTTCATCAGACTGTGCCCTCTCAAAAACATCTTAAATCATACGAAGACCAATTAGGAGCTAGAAGTACAGTTCGATGATAGAGCACTTTCCTAGCATATAAAGGTCCTGGATTTGATCGTCAGCACCAGAAAGCAGAAAGAAAGAAAGAAAAAAAGAAAAGAAAGAAAGAAAGAAAGAAAGAAAGAAAGAAAGAAAGAAAGAAAGAAAGAAAGAAAGAAAGAGAGAGAAAGAGAAAGAGAGAAAGAAAGAAAGAAAGAGAAAGGGAGAGAGAGAGAGAAGACAGAGACAGAAACAGAGACAGAGACACAGACGGAGACAGAGAGAGAGAGAGAGACTCAAACAGAATAAGCAGTGAATTTGAGAAAATAAGGATTAATAGCAACTTAATTTTATGTGTTTTCAAAGTTTATGTATCTGCAATTTTAATAAGATTAATTTTCTGCATCCTGTCAAACCCAAACTTAAATACACCTTTAATAATACTGCTTTTAGGTCAGGCTTGGTGCCACAGGTTTATAATCCCTGAACTTGGGAAGCTGAGGCAGGAAGATCACTGTGATTTTAAAGCCACCCTGAACCGCATAATGAAACCCTGTCTCAAAGAAGACAAAATAAGGGCTGGGGATTTAGTTCAGTACTAGAAAGCACCTGCCTGGCAAGTGCACGATCATAAGTTCGATCCCTGGTACAAAAAAAAAAAAAAAGACACAATAATAATACTGCTTTTATGCAGATATGGTGATTCATGCCTATAATCCCAACACTCAGGAAACTGAAGTAGGAGGATGACTGTGAGTTCAAGGCCAATTTTGGCTACATAGTTAATTCAAGGTCAGCCTGAACTGCAGAGTAAGACTCTGAAAAAATCAAACCAAACAAAAATACTGCTGTAATGATTCAGACCCTTTAGCAACTTCTTACTAATGTTGCAAGTGTAAATTCTGTTTTGTTGTAAAGATTTTCACAGCTGGTCCAGCCCTTCCATCAGCCCTGTCCAGCTACAGCCAGGACAAAGTCTTTTTACTTCCACTTTTTGTACTTTGGTCAGTCTCTTATCTGGCATGATCTTTTCCTCATGCACATTTCAGAGGTTATTTAAGGCTCTGCTTCAGGGTTTAGTCCTTCATAAAATCCTGCCTGCCCCCGTCCATGCCTCTCTGGGTACTCTGAATTCCTGACATTCATAGTCAATAGCATCCAATTTAGCACTTAATTACATATGCTCACCTTAAATAATTCACTGTTGTTTTAATGTGGGTTAGTCATGTTTCCCTCAGCTGGGTTATATATGTGAGTAGGAACCATAATTTATACTTCTTTAAAATCATAAGCTCTGGAATTACATTATACTGAAATCCTGACTCTCCTATGACTTGCTATGTGGCGTTAGGTAAGTGGCTTAACTGCTCCCTCTGTGTCCTAGTTCCCAGTGTTTAGAATGGAGCGTGAGGTTGTAAGTTCGATCCTTGGTACAAAAATAAATAAATAAAATACAATGGAGCCTTAGATGGAAGAAGAGGGTAGGAGGGAAGAGGAAGGGGAAGTCAAATCTAAGAAGTGTTATGTACATGGTTTTTTGTTTTGTTTTGTTTTTGGTACCAGGGATCGAACTCATGACCTCATGCTTGCCAGGCAGGCACTTATGCCGCTGAGCTGAATCCCCGGCCCCTTGTACATGTTTTCTTTATGAACATGTTTTAACTCCCCAGAATAAATGTAATCATTATGTACTGCAAACATGTACTAATAAAACTTTAAAAATTTAAAAACAAGGGGGCTGGGGATTTAGCTCAGTGGCATAAGTGCCTGCCTTGCAAGCAGGGAGTTGTGAATTTGATCCCTGGTACCGATAAAAAGGAAAAAGGCAAAAAAATAAAATAAAATAAAATAAAATAAAATAAAATAGCTTTAAAATACAATATGTATGTATTTTACATGTTAAGAAAATTATTCCATTTAATCTACTAGTATCATTTTATTTATTTTCCTACCAGTATCATTTTATATATTATCTGTCTCTGTTGTGGTAAACTTTGACAAGCAGAACTCCCAGGGTAACAGAATTTTGTTCGTTTCCTGATTTTTGCAATGGCTTATTGAAATAGAATATCAATACTCTAAAATTTATTTTATAAATTATATAGAAGCAATGTATTTGTTTCTAATCAGTCTGGGAATTTCAAACAGTAAAGATTTCCTACAATAAAGACTTTAAAAAATAAAATAAAACAAACTTTAAAAAGTACCTACTGGATCTGGAGGGGGAAGGGCCAGCGTACACTGTCCCTGTCTGCAACTCACTAGCACACTGCAGTGGGAAGGGCCATCTAGCCAGCGTGCTTCAGAAGAATTGTAACCAACAAAGAAACTGGGGCCTCCTGGAAGAAGCAAAAAAGATTTGAAGAGGAAGCAACAACAAAAGTCCCCAGGTCCCAACCCTGAGAACATGGACCCAGGACAGGTAAATACAAAGGATAATGAGAACAGCAAACATGCAATATCAGACACAGAGCTAGTGGACATAAAAAGATATATTCGGGACCTCATAGATGAGTTCAAAAGTGAAATATTTAGTCAAATAAAGCAAGATATAAGAAGATTAATAAAAGAGATACTAAGCACCCATCAAGCAGACACAGATGGAAGAAGGGAGGAACTCAAACACAGGAGAGAACCATTATATGAAGAATATAAAAAAATATAGAATACATGAAGCAGATTCAAAGAGATCACCAGGAAATTAAAAACTCTAAGGAAAGATGGCAAATCAGCTTGAAAGACACTAAGGATAGATTATCTAAACTGGAGGACAATTTTGCAATGTGGGATTATGAAAGGGAAAACTTTTTTAAAAATAACAAGAAAACAAGCAGTAACAATACAAAGGCTAGAAGATGACAAAAGGATCTATAACTTGAGAATAAAGAATGTGAATGAAGAAGCAGGGGTACAAACAAAGGAACTACAAAGGTTATTCACAGAAATAATTAAGGAAAACTTCCCAAACATAGGAAAAGGAAATGATATTCTGATATATGAGGCATACAGAACTCTAGCCACCTACGACCAAAACACAGCTACACCCAGGCATATAATAATCAAGATCCCAGAAATTCAATATAAGAACAGAATATTAAAAGCGATTAGAGACAAGAAATAGATAACCTATAAAGGAAGGCCTATCAGAATAATGGCAGACTTCTCAATACAAACCATCAAGTCAAGAGGAGCCTAGAGTGAAACATTCCAAGCTCTGAAAGAAAATAACCTCCATTCCAGATTGATATACCCTGCTAAACTGTCTCTAGAAATTAATGGAGAAACAAAATGCTTCCAAGACAAAGAGGAACTTGGGAAATTTGCAACCACCAATCCAACTCTACAGAGAATACTGCAGGGCATTCTAGAGAGAGAGAAAAGTACTAGGATTCCAGGAACAGTGGCAGAGAGGCCTTAATGAATGGAGCAGAAAACAGAATGAAAAAGACAAGCAGACAACTGATGGTAAAAAAAAAAAGAGCATAGGGGCTGGGGATTTAGCTCAGTGACATAAGCACCTGCCTTGCAAGCAGGCGGTTGTGAGTTCGATCCCTGGTACCAATAAAAAAGAAAAAGACCAAAAAAGAAAAAAAAAAAAAAGAGCATAAAAGAAATGAGGCAGAGATTTTATTCAAAACTGATATGATTGATAGTATCAAGTCTGAGAGTATAGGCAACTACACAAAAGACGACGAGACTCTACAATACACATTCTGGTTTGATAACTGCTGGTTTTTGAAGTTCTATACTATATACAAAGTTGTGTTTTTATTAATACTGTTATGTACTGGTATATTCAATTATACTATGTCTGATGATATAGCCAATTTTATTGGAGATAACAAGAGACAACACAGGAATCATGGTAGAACTCCTTGTACAAGAGTCTTACATATTTTTTTTGTTTCATATGTTTCTAGGAATATGTTTTGTTTTGTCTCGCTTTGTTTTGTTTCTGCCTCTAATATAGAAAGGATAGAAATACATGTTAAGACTCATGCATGTATAGAATCTATAAACAGTTTATGAGAACTGATCTTATGACACATGATGAAATGAACAGATACTTTGAAGAAAAAGAAACACTAAAATACCCAGTGCTGATCCTGGAGTATCATAATGTGAAACCCAGCAACAGTATTAGTCTTTGTTCAGAGTGATATTAGCCTGCTTGGGTTTATTCAATCTCAACATAATTGAAGATATGGATACTGCATGTATGTTTAAATATATAGGGGGCTGGGGATTTAGCTCAGCGGCATAAGCTCCTGCCTTGGAAGCAGGCAGTCGTGAGTTCGATCCCTGGTACCGATAAAAAGGAAAAAAGACATATATATATATATATATAGGATTGATAGCCATATTTCTAAGTTTTTGTTGGATAATTGAACAGAACTGGTTGCAGTCTCACTGTTTGAATCCCCACTTTATATGCTCCACTTTAGTATCTTGAATAGGGGGCTAGGGATTTAGCGCAGCAGCATAAGCACCTGCCTTGCAAGCACATGGTCATGAGTTTGATCCCTGGTACCGATAAAAAAAAAAAAAGAATAACTATTTGTAAGAAGACAATCTGAAATCATCAACTAGTGATTTCTTACTGTTTTTTTTCTTTGAAATTATGTATTATTTCTACCTGTTTTTTGTTTTGTTTAGTCTTTCTTTAAATTAAATTTTTTTAAAAGATACTACAGTACCCAGTGCTGATCAGTGTCATGATGTGAAATCCAGCAATACTATTATTCTTTTTTTTTTTTATTTAAGGAGAAAAAGAAAAAAATAGAAAAAGGGTACAAGTAATACAAAATTTAAAAAATAAACAGTAAGGGGCTGGGGATTTAGCTCAGCGGCATAAGTGCCTGCCTTGCAAGCAGGCAGTCGTGAGTTCGATCCCTGGTACCGATAAAAAGGAAAAAGACAAAAAAAAAAAAACAACAACAACAAAATAAACAGTAAGAAATCACTAGTTAATAGATTACATATTCTCATCTTAGAAATAGTTGTTCAAGTTACAAAATTGAAGCATATAAAGTGGATTTTCAAACAGTGAGAGTGCAAACAGTTTTGTTCAGTGATCCAAAAAACACTCAGTAATATGGTTATCCATGCTGTACACTTAAACATATACGCAGTTACAACCTTTAGAGCACTTTCTTTTCTTTTCTTTTGTACAATGGCAATTACACATTTTGGGTTTTATTACTCCCAGAGTTCTTATTACTTTTTTTGAAGAGAGTAAACCAAAAGTGACAAATCAGAACAGAGTCAGTCAAATCAAAAGGATGGACATAATAGAAAATGTAAAAACAAAATATAAGGTGATCAACAATGGTTACCATACTGCCTCTTGCTATTTTAAGAAGAATTGCCAGTTATAATAAAATTGAACTAAACAGTAAAGAATAAAACCAAAGCATTGGAGACACTACAGGATTTTTTTTTTTTTTTGTCTTTTTCATTTTTATCGGTACTGGGGATCAAACTCACGACCACCTGCTTGCAAGGCAGGTGCTTATGCTGCTGAGCTAAACCCCCAGCCCCAAAATTACAAGATTTTAAAAGAAAATAATAGTTAACTAGAATTGGCGTCATAATGATTCTTATTGTCTTCACAGTTATGCCTATACTTTCGAACTTGGTACTATCAAACAAAGCAGAATAGAGGAAAATCAGTCAAAACAAGATGGTGAGGGCAATACAGGATTTCAAATCAAGTTAATAGGAAATCAAAGTAGGTTAATATAATGTTTCCTGCTATTTTTTATTTATTTTTCCCTTAATTAAAAAGATAAAAAGAAAAAAGTAAATAATTTTTAAAAAGGGGATTGAGACAAAAGAGGGCATAACAACAGAACAGCGCAGGTCAAAACATAATCATTTAAGCAAAATAGTGTTTCACTACAAGATATCCTGACATAAAAATAGTTACCATAGTGTCTCTTTCCTTGAAATCTTTAAGTATAACTTCGTATACTGTAGCACCAAACATATCAAGACACTATAAAACCATTCAAGAGAATGACATTATTACAGGGTATTTGGAACCAATTAACAGAAAATGAACAATGGTTTCTGTATAATCTCCTTGTCTATAAAAGTTTTTGCTTATATTATCATATATAATAAAATCCAATAAGATACAACCTTTTAAAACCGATGGAGACAGAAGGATACAAGTTTGATGGGACTTCAAAACAAGATGATACTAAATCAGCACTAACTATTACGATGTCTTGTTTTCTCCAAAATAGCTGCTCCTACCATCCGATCTTCTCTGCCTCATTTCTGTTGAGCTCTTTTTCTGTCATTTGTTGTCAGTTTGTCTTCTTCATTTCGCTTTCTGCTCCATTCATTGTGGCCTCTCTACCACTTTTCTGGAATCTTGGTATTTTTCTTTTTTAAGAATGTCCTAGGGGCTGGGGATTTAGCTCAGCGGCATAAGCGCCTGCCTTGCAAGCAGGCAGTCGTGAGTTCAATCCCTGGTACCGATAAAAACGAAAAAGACCAAAAAAAAAAAAAAAAAAGAATGTCCTGCAGTATTCTCTATAGAGTTGAATTGGTGGTTGCAAATTCCCCTAGTTCCTCTTTATCTTGGAAGCACCTTGTTTTTCCATCAATTTCTAGGGACAGTTGTGCAGGATATATCAGTCTAGGCTGGAGGTTATTATCTTTCAAAGCTTGAATTATTTCCCTCCACGCTCTTCATGATTTGATGTTTGTGCCGAGAAGTCTGCTGTAATTCTGATGGGTGTTCCCTTGTAAGTGATCTGTTTCTTGTCTCTGATGGCTTTTAATATTCTGTTCTTATATTGGATTTCTGGAATTTTGATTATTATATGCCTGGGTGTAACTCTGTTTGGGTTGTAGGTGGCTGGAGTCCTGTATGCCTCATACATCTGAGTATCTTTACCATTTGCTAAATTAGGGAAATTCTCTTGGATTATTTCTGTGAATAGCTTTTGTGGTCCATTTGTTTGTGTCCCTACTTCTTTTATGTTCTTAATTCTTAAGTTATAGATCCTCTTATCATCTTCTAGCCTTTGTATTGTTGCTGTTTGTTTTTTTGTTATTTTTAAGAAGTTTTTCATTTCATGCTCCCATATTACAAATCTGTCCTCCAGTTCAGATAATCTATCCTTAGTTTCTTTCAAGCTGTTATGCCAGTTTTGATAGAGTTTTTAGTTTCCTGATAATCTCTTTGAACCTGCTTCACGTATACTATGTTTTCTCTATTTTCTCCATCAAACAATTCTCCCCTTTTTTTCTGTTCTTCCATTCCACCATCTGTTTTTTCTTGGGTGGTGCTTAGCATTTCTCTAACTATTCTGCTTATGTCTTGCTTCAGGTCATTAATAACTTCATTCCTGAATTCATCTATGAGGCTCTGGAGATAGCGCTTTATGTCTATTGGTGCCGTGTCTGCTATTGCATGTTTCTCAGGATTGGGGGCTGAGAACCCTTTTCTTGTTGCTCCCTCTTCCCATATTTTTTGTTCCTTATATATAAGCATATATAGGAGGCCCAGCTTCCTTCCCTGTCAGCCACAGTCTGTTTGAGTTGCTGGCTAGGTATTCCTGCCCACCACAGCACACCAGGGAGATATGGACCAGGCAGTCTATGCCGGGCCCACCCCTCCAGGTCAACCTACCAAAGGCTTCACTGTTAGGGTGCACCTCCAGGCGCTGGGACCTGGGTTGGGTTAGCCTACTGGGTCTCAGCCAGTGGCATCACACAGGCCAGGCACTCCCCACCAATCCCGCTTGAGAGGGGGATATGTGACTGAAGTCACTGCAGCATCTCATTCCGGGTAGTTTGCCCGGTCCAAGCATGTCCTCCGCTGAAGCCTCCTACTCTATGGAAGGGTCCCTGATCTGCTCACTCACCATAGGTCGATGCAGGGCACCCGGCCAGTCCTGCTCCCAACTCCATTCAAAGCTTCCCACTCTCAGAGCCTTCGCACCTCTCTCCCCGCCTTGCCAACCGGGACACAGCAGCAGCTGCAGGAAATTCAAATCGCAGCTTCCAGTGGCAAGGGGTCCAGCTTCCATTCTGAGACTTTATCTGTTCCTGCTGTATCACCAGGATTGCGTTTCCAGTTGGTTTCTCTTAATTTAGTTCGTTCCTGGGTCGGCAAAGAATATCCCCCCTTGCCTAGGACTTCCTGCCCGGCACCATTCCTGAATTTCAAGTGCAGTTTCTCAGAGAGCCTTCAAAGCTGCTGCTATCTATCCGCCATGTTCTCCCCATGCATCAATACTATTATTCTTTGTTCAGAATGATTTTAACCTGCTTTAGTTTGTTTAATCTAAACATAAATGAAGATATGGATAACTGCATGTATGTTTAAGTGTATAGGATTGACAATCATGCTACTAAGTTTTTGTTGGACAGTTGAACAGAACTGTCTGCAGTCTCGCTGTTTGAATTCCCACTCCACATGTTCCATTTTTGTATCTTGAACAACTATTTGTAAAATGACAATATGTAAACATCAACTAGTGATTTCTTACTGTTTATTTTTTTCTCTGAACATATGTATTATTTCTTCCCATTTTCTGTTTTGTTTAGTTTTTCTTTAAATAAAATTTTAAAAAAAGCAAATCATCACTAAATCTGCTATCATAACCCCTGCTGTTCTATTGCCATGAGGATTTCTTCTTTATCCTTTCTTTGATATATTTGGGCATGTTAATTTAATAAATATTGTTTGTTAACATCTTGGAAAAAAAAGTACCTACTTCAGGGAAGTAGCTGTACACTGCTCAAAGATGTTGCAATAATTTAACATACATTAGTGCTATTATTATCCTCCACATGGCTCATCATGCAATGAGTAGACACACCTAAGCATTTATTTTTGTTGATTTACTAGGTTATATATAAAATTCTTTTAGATGCTTAACCAGAAACTTTTGAGTTAAGGCAGAAGGGTGTATTTGTATGGAAAATTATTATTTCTAAATGTTTTCTAGGCAGATTTTACTTCCAAATTTTAAGAAGCATCTAAATATTGTCCCCATGTTTCTTCTTGAGTCCTGTAGTCTAGGTGAGGAATTAAGAGGGTTATATCTTTCACTTCATAAAGAAACCAGGAATAAGCATTAGACCAAAATAGATGCCACGTACCAGTAGTCTGCTAAGAATCCATACAAAAAGTTCCCATTTGTAACGCTCTTCTGTTTTGAGTGCTTGTTCCTTGAAAAAACAAACATAAATTACTGTAGTACGCTCATCACTTTACCTCCAGTATAGATGCTGTAATAGCGTGTTGGTAGTTGAGGCGACAGTATGTCTAGTAGAGCACAAGACAATAATAAAGGTAAGAAGGTAATTAAAGATCCTAGGTTGAGCTCTAGAACTATTATTAAATTTTATATTATACCAATTACCATGTAAGCAGGCGCCTCCCCCATTGCTCTAAATAACATCAATCAGTACCTCACCTGGCCCCCAGTGTGGGGCTCCAACCTGGGGCCTCACACTTGCTAGGCAAGCACTCTGCCACTCAGCCACACCCCTGGCCCTAATTTATTTTGAAGACCTGAAGTTTTGTTTTGTTGGTAGTATTGGAGATTGAACCTGGGCTTTCCCACTGAGCTACCTCCTCTGCCTTTTAAATTTTTTCATTTTTTAAAGACAGGATCTTGCTAATGTAGTCCAGACTAGCCTTAAACTCATAACAATCCTCCTGTTTGTGCCACCATGCTCAGCTTGGCTTTTTTTTTTTTTTTTTAAATCTTGAGATAGGGCTCTCACCAAATTGCCCAGATGGGACTTGAGCTTGCAATCCTCCTGCCTTAGTCTCTCAGGACCTGGGATTATAGGCATGCACCAGTGTGGCTGGTTAAAGGACTAAAGTATTGAGTCCTATGTGGTCTGAGAATTGCATCCTGATAAAATCTCAGGGACTCAGATTCTTATGGAGAAGACAGATTGTTATCATGGATCAGGAATGTGAGGCTGCAACACTCCCTAGATAGTCAGAGGACATGTGTAGGATCCATGCTGTAAAAAGGATTATGGAATATGAATTGTTTTAAAAGAAATTCTATGGGATTTGTTCACCTGCTGTTAGTTACATTTAAATGCCATATTTCCTGAATGAAAGATTAGAAAATAAGAGCTGGTTAAAAAAAGAAATTGACTCATTGTTTTAGGATGTGAAGATACAAGATGTGGAAATTAGAAGGTAGCTGTACTAAATCACAATGCCATCTGCCTCATGGTTTGCTTACCCATCTTAGAATGATTAAGAGACCATAGTCGTCAGGTGAAGGCGATCTCATGTGGAGGCATGCCAAGGGTGTTGCAAAAAGAGTAGGCCTGCTGGGCATGGTGGCACATGCCTGTAATCCTAACACAGGGCAGGCGCGAAGATGGGGTGCTGAGGTGGGAGGAGTGCTATGAGTTTAAAGCTAACCTGGGCTACATAAGTGTGTTCAAGGCCAGCCTATACATAGCGAGACCGTGTCTCAAAAAACAGAAAAAGAATATTGAGAAGTAGAAGATTCTGCTACTGCCAAGCTCTCCCTCTTTGGACAGGTCTTTCTGTTTTTCTAGCCTAAATTTCCTTATCAGTAAAATGATGATGGAGAGACAGCAAAACATTTCTAAAATTCTTCCCAACACTGTTATGGAAGGATTCTGCTGAGTCTAACAAAATCCATGCATTTTCCGGGTTTAGCCTCAGTTCCCCCCAAAACAGATGGATCTTCCTTCTTCCCCTGTCTCCCAGCATGCATACCCTGCCCCCTCCCTGCCTCTCACTTTCAGTGCAGAATGTGAAAAATACTCTGAAGCCTAAATATATTGGTTACAATGGCCAATGACATCTACATTCTTTCCCCTGGAGGTGTCTGTGAGGCATTTGCTGAAAGTCTGAATTTAAATGTGCAGTTTCAAAGGAACAGGGACGATGCTGATACTATGTGGCTATGTGGAGTTGTCTCAGGGCGGTTTTTCTTACCCGAGCAGAGCTTATGAATATATTGTTCTCTATTTGCTTCTAAATGGCTCCTTAGAATCAAGATTGCTCTAAAATCTTCATAATTGTTCTAAACCACCCTGGGTCTTTTAGTGTGGTCCTCTGATACAACTTCTGAGCAAGCAATCAGCAGGAAAAAGGACTAGGTCAGCTCTCTGTGTGTCAGTGCTTGGCAGCACAGCTCCCCTGGGATGTGTCTCTTGGCGTCCACCCAGCCTGGCTATCAACAATAAAAGCTTCTCTTTGTGCTTCCAGTAAGTTATAAATAAATCTCCCCAATCCCACCTGTTTTCTGAGAAGAGTTTCTCCCATGTCCTTTCCCCTAGGTTCAAAAAGAGACACAACTGCTCCTTTAGGAAAATAGTTCTTAAACGACCATGAAGCAATGGTGCCTTTTCAGTGATCCCTCCCCCAAACATCTAGATGTGTAATTTGAATTACAGGCACTTCAGTTGGGTTCTGAGGCAGCACTGCTCCCCTACTCTATGCTAATTACCTCTTACAAACTACTCAGCCCTAACTAATCCTTTTCTGTGTAGAAAGTTTTGGTTAAGGAAGGAAGAGCAGCAGGGCAGGCATATCCAGTGCCACACAAGAGACATGGGCAGTAATTTACCTGGCCTGAGGAACCCCAAAAACTGCTCCTCAAAGGTGAGTGGGCCAGACTGTCAGTCTTTGGGGGAATGCCAGGTACCAGGCCGGTACTAAGGGAAGATCAAAATAGAGTTCCTGTTCAGCCAAACAAAAAAATAGTTAACCTCAGTAGTAGTCCAAATAGGTTGGATTTCTTAAACATCTCACCATAAAACCTCTGCTGAACTATCAGGCCTCGTATTACTGTTCTGAGATAAACATTAATCCTATTTTCCAGCAAGCTGCAGAATGAGGTCAAGCACATTGTTTTCTACTGCAGTCAGTGCTGGAATCCACTCTCAAAACTGCATAAATGAGTCATTTCAGCTGATTCATCACTGAGTCTATACCAGTGACGTGTTTTCTGAAGCACTATAAGTTGAAGTAGGGATTTTTCCCTTTTACATTCTTCTGGCCATGAAAGAGACTTGGAAGAGCAAGAAGTGATTACCACAGTCTCCTGCTTTAACTTTGATCCCTAAAAAAGGAAAAAGACTCCTGTGTTTATCTGTGGGAGAACAGATAGGAAGATTAAGGCCTAACTGGCCTCTTCTGTGAACACTAGGGAGAAAGGTGACATGAGCCCGTGCTGACACACTGCAGGAAAAATTAATACAGCAGAGATCCTGTTGTTTACTCACATAAGCACCATGGCTGGTGGGAGGAGAGGAGTCTTGTTTTACTCTTACGGCTTGTACTCTTACCCATGTCTGAGTGAATAAAGCCACAGTGCACCAGTCACTTGGGCTCTTTGTTGCCGGGAGCTCCACATTTTAACCTAATTCTGTGTCTCTTTGTGTTTCATCTTTGTCCCCACTTTGGTCAGGTACAAGCTCATAGGCTGGCCTCTTAGGTTTGTTTGTACTTCCCCCTTGTTTGTAAAATACTAAATTCTGCAAATAAGCTTTATACATGCTGCCACAATTTGGACAAGCATTTTAAATTGAAAAAAACATGAACTATTATAAACATAATAATATAAACTAGTCATGGTGGGGCACACCTGTGATCCCAGAACTCTGAGAGGAAGAGGCAGGAGGATCACAAGGGTAAGCCCAGCCTGGGTAACTTAGACTTGTTTGAAAATTTAAAAAGTTTTTTAAAAGGGCTGGAAATGGGGGCTGGAGGTTTAGCTCAGCGGCATAAGCGCCTGCTTTGCAAGCAGGCAGTCGTGAGTTTGATCTCCAGTACCGATGAAAAGGAAAAAGACAAAAAAAAAAAAAAAAAAAAAAAAAGGCTGGAAATGTAGCTCAGTACTATGGCCCTGGGTGGTTCAGTCTCCAGTACTAAAATACACACACACAAATATAAGTAATATAAAACTGTTACCCACAGTTATAAAACAAAATCCATGAACCTGCTACCAGTTCAAGATCTAGAACATCTCAAGCTAACAGTATTCCTGTGGTCCCTCCAGTATGGATCCCCAGACTCCCCCACAGTTGAATGTATTTGTCACTCTTTTCCTTGGTGGTTTTGCTATGTATAGGCATCCCTGGACAACACTGTTAAACTTTTGTTTCTTGTCTGTATTAGTAGGATACAGTTGCTATAACAAAATACCACAAGCTGAGTACCTTGAATGAGAGAAACTGTCTCCCTCTTTTGGAGTCTGTAAGTCTGAAATCAAGGTATTAGTGGGGCTCATTCCTTGTGAGGGCAGACATGCTTTCAGATGGCTGTCTTCTTTTTTTAAGTTAGATTTTATTGGCATATTTTAGGTATACATAATGATCACATTCATCATGGAGAATTTGTACTTGCACATGATATAGCTTGATTGTTTTTCCCCATTTTCCTCCCCTGCCACTTCCCCTCTCCGTCTGTCTTCTTCCAGTATCTGTTCATATCATCTTCTGGGTAAATATGTCCAACTTTGCCCTTTTAATGAGGACACCAGTCCTATGGAATTAGGGTCCACCTAATGTCTTCATCCTCCCTTGATTATTTCTGTAAGTCTGAGCACTAGGAGATAGGATTTGAAAACCAATTTTGAGAGACACAATTCAACCCATAATTTGGTGACAAACACAGTTACTTGACCCAAATTCATTTTGCAGTGTTTCTTTTCCTACCTTTAATATACTTTGTTGTTGTTTGTGTTTGTCTCAACCAATTCAGGAGAAAAAAAAAAATCTAGAAACTGCCTCTAAAAGGAGACTCTAGCACTTTATAACCCAGTAACATAATTTGGTGAACTAGCCAGGAGAGGAAAGCTGTGTGCTGCGTGGAAGAATGAAACAGGAACAAGTTATGACCCCAGACTCACCCCTGTACCCCACTTGTGAGGGAGGGAAAGGGGTCACCAGAGGCACAGCCCCAGGAGGGCTCACTTTCCCCACTGTACAATCCCCTCAGGAGGGAAAGGATTGATACGTCCAGAGAAAAGTGACAGCGGAAGCAACATCACATTAACTCCAGATCTCAGGAGTTTGGAAGCAGAAAGGGAGTAAATGGGTAGGAGTGGGATCGTTCTCAGAGGCACAGAAAGATTCCCCCCACTGGCCGTGCAGCTCAGTGTGCTGCACTTTCTGAGGTGAGGCACTGAGTTCCATCACCAGCGCTGCAAAAGAGGAAA